TTGTACTCATCCCAAGTGGTGATGGAGTGAGCTGGCAGAGACTTCAACCATCTTGAAGCTTTGTCGCCAAGAGAGAATGAAAAGAGCTTGCACTTAAGGTAGTCAGCAGAGACTCCATTGGATCTTGTAGTGCTGCAAATTTCTTCAAAGTTTTCTATGTGATCAAGAGGGTGCTCAGCTGGAAGTCCATTGAATTGGTTCTGTCTAACCAATGCAATGATCTGAGGCTTGATCTCATAGTCATTCCTTGCAGGTGGTGGTGGATGGATAGGGTTTCTATCCATGAAGAAAGCATCGGCAGAGTCATAGTCTCCGATTGTAGGTGCTCCAGCTTGGGGTTGTGCATTCACATCTCCAGCAGGGTCTTGTGGATTAGGAGGAGGAGGAGGTGGATCTCTTCCTTCTTCTTGAGCGCGCGCCACTTCAGCGGCGTGAGCGCGAGCTGCTTCGTCGGCCATCTCTTGGGCTTTCTGCTTCCTAAGTTGCTTCTCAAGCTTGTCTATCTCTGGATGTTCAACTAGGTTGTCCTTGTTGGACCTCCTAGTCATGCACCTGAAAAGAGTCTTGGAAACAAGTTAAATAAAAGGGAAAAACAAAAACAAAAGCAAAAATCAAAGAAAAGGAAATCAAAAACTAAAAATTCAAAAGCAAAAGAAAAGTAAAACAGGAAAAGGTTCTAGACTAGATCCTAGTCGAGTTCCAAAGGTACTGCTGCAGTCCCCGGCAACGGCGCCAAAAACTTGATGCGGAGTCAGGTTTTACCAAACTCCTAGACCTCTGCAAGTGCACAGATCGCGGAAGTATGGGTATCGAACACAAGGACTGGCTATTGAGTACACTTTGTAACTATGGATTTTGGATCAAGCTAAAACAAAAGTATGATTGAGGTTGTAATGGTGAACCGAACTAGCAAGTATAACGAGGTTGTAAAGCAATAAAGGAAAAGCGCTAGGTCATAGGGGCTATCGCAGAGAAGCAAGCAATGATCAATGAAACAATGATAGATTAATTGATTAGGGATATTGGGATATTAAGAACCATCTAGAACACAGATCACGAATATAAAACCATTCCACTTTCGAGGCTCCGGCTCCTTTGCTAATCTACCTAGTCGCTAAACTTTTGGTATGTCCCTAGGTGATTAGATCAAGCATTAGAATGAATAGGTTCTGATACAGTTCACTAGATATAGATAGATCAACTTTCGCAGTCTAAGAAACCTAGCTTGTCAAAGAATATGTCCGGCGAATGATACAGCACTGTCGAGGCTCAAATCAACCTAAGATCGGATTACTAGATGCGCGGTAAAGCAATCAGCATTAGTTAAGTGCACAAGACGAGACAAAGACTCTAATATAATCCCTAGCTAATCATTGAAATCAAAGATCATGCAAGCAACTCATTGAATAGTAACCCTAGCAACCTAACTAGTGGATTACTCAGACATGATCAAAGCAAACACACATAGAGATGAAGAAAACATGATTGCAATAAAACTTAGAGTAGGAAATCGAAATACAAGGGCGGCTCTCTTTCACAAGAGGCTAAAAATCCATATATATAGTGCTAGGTCTTTCTAGAGGCGGCTTAGGGTTAAGCCGGGCTTGAAAACATAAGTTTGGGCTTCAAAAGGGCTTCGGGTCGACCGCGGCGTTGGGACGGTCGTCGGGACGATCGGCCGGACATCGGGATGTGGCCGAGTCGGAACGGTCGGGGTCGGACGGATCGTGGTCGGCGTGGTCGGCCGCTGTGGTCGGACGGGTGAAAACTTGGCCGATGAAATCTCGGCCGGACGCGGGACGTAGTTTCCCGGGTCGGACGGCGCGTCGTGCGTGGTGCGCGGATGAGTTGCGCGGCCGCGAGGCGTTACTCCCGGCTCGCGTTTGGTCGTGCGCGGTCGTGGCGTGGCGTGGCCGACCGCGGGATGTTTCCCGGGTCGTGACTTGCGCGCGGCCGAACGGTTTTGGACTTTGGCCGAGACTTCAGACGACGGACGAGATTTGGCCGAGCGCGGAACATTCGTTCCTCGGCCAGCCGGACTGCGCGGTTGGGCGCTGATTCTCGATAGAGCTGTCTGGAGCAGTCTTCACTCTTTTGGTTGTAACTCCTTTTCTACTCATCCAAATTAGGCCATTCCAATTGCGTTGGAAAGTTAACTCAATCAGAGCACGCAGGGAACTGGTCTTGATGAAATCCATTGAGTAGATCTTTTTCTGGGCCCTCTTAAAGTTGGTGCTTGTGCATGGAGCTGCTTGAAGTGCAAATCCTATGGTTTTGCTCCAAAATGCATCATTTCACCTGTTTAGACTCTAGACACTATAAACACAGTAAAACTACCTTTTTAGATAGAAAACCTGCCAAAAACCATTAGAAAACAATGCTAAAACAGTATAAAAAGTGGGTAAATTAGAGGTATATCATCTATTAAGCTCACGTCTTCTAATCATTTGAAGTCCTCTGAAAGAGCCTCCCAAGTATTTTTCCAAACCAGCTCTGGAGAAGTTAAACTGTCGGAATTAAGCATGGTGACGAATAACTGCCGAAGTTGAGCTGCAGAAGTCGTGAAGCTTCTCCTGAGAATGTCATCAATGTACTCTTGGTCATCCTCTAACAAACCCCTGGCATAGCACGCATCCTTGTTGCTCGGATATAGCACTCCATTGTATGTCTTGATGTCGTCAAAACATGTGGGACCACGGACAACATTTAGCAACACTCGACAATAATAAGCATCTTCAATCTTCCTTGGGGCATAGTTGATTCTGCCAATTGCAAAACCTGTCTCCCTTTCTTTCCAACGTTTCTGGCTAGCAATATATACAAAGAAATTTGGAATCTGAACATAGGTTAGCGTTCTAGCAAACTCATTTTCCAAATTCAGCTGAAACCAAGCCAACATCATAGTCTTCTCGATCAGTTTTCGTGTAACAACCCTTTCCAGCTTGTCCTTCCCTTTGAAGATAACCAACTGTTTCCCTTCTAAGTGAAAAGTGAGTTTAACCACAGACACAGATCTATGATGTATTTTAAACCCCAGTGTTCTCCATACAGCTTCTGTAGCACCTACAAACCTTCACAAAACGTTTCAAAACTTGATTTCAGAAAACGGTGTCTAACCTCAAAATTCATTCATAAATGTATCAAAGGAAACAGAAGTATATTAAGATTTTTGATGGAACATCTTACCGGCAATCAAAATAGTCTTTAATCTCGTTAACCTGCTCAACCTTCTCAGTGGACTCAGAACTATCTTCAGTCTGCTTAGCTCCATTAGTAGGTCTCCCATTTTTCTTTTTCTGCCGTGCTTCTTCACCAAGTGTGGCCTGCTCAGCTGACTCAACAACGACAGCAACACGATCTGATCCTTTGTTGATATACTTAAATAAGTACTTAATAGCAGCTGACTGGTTCACCATTCTACATTGATGTGAGCTTTGTAACGGATGGACAGAGCTCTGTTATATGGAATCACGTATCGGTTGTCACACTTGAAACCATTCTTCTCGATAAACACACCTGGCTGGTCCCGTCTCCTGTATATTGGGAAGCCATCTTTGCTTATCTTGGTTCTCTCTGCATGAGCTTTCGGGAATAGCTTTGAACATTTTCCATTTTCCATACATGGTGAGTTTATGTTCACATTACCGCAAGGACCGTGAATCATCATATCCTTCACAACTTCATATAGTTCTGGCTCCTCCACCTTATCTGGTATCTCTGCTGATATAATCTTATCGATATCATCCGTAGTTGGAAACTTGCACTTCTGATGCATAAACAGAAGAATGTGAGCATGTGGCAGTCCTCGTTTTTGAAATTCTATTGTATACATTGCTGCATTGTTAAAAGAAGTGATCGTGAATCATAGGAATAATAATTGTGCAGAAATCAAATGAAAACATACTTGTTAGTTTACTACTTATAATATGATGGATTGGTACAAAACTTACACGCAACTGTTTGGCCTAGGAGTCCATTATCCGTCAAGTCTTCCATGAGTGACGCTAGTTTTATATGATACAGCCTGCAGATGAGTTCAGCTCTATCCGTAGGTTTCAGATTTGTACCATCAAGCTCTCGGGTTAGTTCTGGCCATTTAGGATTGCATGTAAATGTGATGAACAAATCCGGGAAACCATAATGTCTGCATATCGCCATCGCATCGAAATATAACTCCCTCATATACCTTGGTCCTCCAGTGAAAGACGCATGCAAGTAAAACTTATTACCTTGTTCCTCCATTTCAATGACACCTGCGTCTTCAGCTTGTTTGATTGAGTCATAACTGTCTGATCTCAAGCTTGTCTGGTTCATCCGCAGATAGGTAAGCCTGTTAGTCTCAATCATGGTGTAGGTATCGACCAAGTACTGCTGAAACAGCCTCCTCGAGTGTAAGAGATGGTTAGACTCTTTTGTTCTTTCAAATAGACGGAAAGCAAAAAACTGTCTAACAGAGATGTTTTCCTTCTTATTTTTTTTCCCGTAAACTGAATCTGCTTTCTTAATTCCAAGCCTGAAACCATCTTCTCCATAAACGAAACACGTAGGATATTGTAGTGGGATATACGACGGATGAATCTCGCTAATACGCCTCAGCTTTCCGGATTGTTTTTGTAGGATTATATCACGGTTCTTCCCCATGTCAAAATTGAAATCTCCGGGAATGATTGCAGCAACCTCAGAAGCCGTAGGAGTGTTGTAAGTTCTTCCATCAGTAACACGATCACTTATAATCCTCATGTGAAAACTGTGCTCAGGGTCAGTGTTGAATCTCTCTCTTGCAGACCGAAATGTCTTCACGTACGGGTTGTGCTCATCTAAGACCTTGACGAACAATTCAATGATTTCCTTCCGTAGTCGGTTCTTCTTAGTTGATTCTTGTGCATTTTTAGCCTTGCTGGATAAGAGAGGATAAACAGGTTAGTACTAATGATAACATAAACTGTTTGTGATTCAAGAATCTATACTATTAAATTATAAACTATGTAATATAAATTACCTGAGGAAAGTGAGCCTATTTTCGATCTCATTCTCCATGTCAACAATATACATCTGATAGAATTTTGCATAATCTCCAGGTTGTGGAATCATGCTGCCCATTAAATGGTAATTCTCTCCGTGCAACTGAAACATTTGTGGACCCCTCCCTTTTTTTACAGAATGATCAACTCTTCCACCCATTGAAGTAAAGGAAAAAAGCATGCTGTAAGGCCTGATGTGCTTCTGATAATGTCGGCTTAATTCATCATCTCCATAAATCAAATTTTTAATTTCAGGAGGAGGATCCTTTAGCAACGGCAACGTTACTTGTCCCTGCATACAGCAAAGCGTGAAGACTGGATTGCGTGACCTCTTCTTCTTGTTGATACGTTCACCATACCAAAACTTAGCATCACAGTGAGTGCAACGATATGTCATATCACCCTCATCATTATATTCTGTACGGGACAATCCAAAATCACCAGAAACTTAGTGTAACATCAAAATTAGAAACTACCAAGAAGATAGACTATTAATTACCAAGTTTTAATGGTTCCTTTGTTTTCACTTTCCTCCCTCTGGTTCCTTTTGTCGAGTTTGGTTGTTTCTTAGTTTCAGCTTGGACACACGGCTTTCGTGGATTCTTGGATCTAACCTCTGCGAATTCCGGTTGAGGCTGATCACATCCTGAAGGTTTGTCTTAGAACAACTTGATTCATCATTTGATAACTCATCTTCCGTGGTTTCTGGGCTACTACACTGAAATATATGGTCATAATCTCCATCATCATCTACAAAATAACAAAATGTCATAGTTTAGATAATTTTTGAATTCACCATGAAACTATTGAAAACAATACTCAAACCAGAAATAAACTTGCCTTCCGAAGATACCAACAAATCTGGGAAATTATGTGGTCTATCTTCAATAGTAGTCTCATCAGTATGTTTTATTTTTCCTCTAGGTTTGCGTTTAGAAGATGGTACTTTTGTTTCCGTCTCAATTGTTTGCAGGCTGGAAAGATCTCGCATCAACTTCCGACCACGTGTGGTTCGCTTTGACTGTTCAGTGTGACAGCACTTACTGGTGTTCTATCAGGCACTGTTTCAGACGAAATGAATCAATCAGCTATTACTCCACAGTTGAAACTACGTAAGTTATAAACGGTAAAGCCAATGAGTTAAATTATAAGCCATGAGAGAAATACTTAGTACCTTGGAAAGTCGGTTTTGTAAACAATGGGGAACCATTAATATCGACGCGTTTCAAACTCGTAGCCCTTCCACAGCTTGTATTTATGTTGTTAACACCATCAAAGATTCTGCTAAAAATTGTTCTTACTGGTACACATGCTTGAGTTTTCGTGTTGGAAGGTTTTTTGATGGTTTGAGTTGATGATCTTGTTTTCTCGTTTTTCTGGTTTTGGTTGTTTTAGGATCCTCTGCACCATCTACTATGTGATTATCAACGCTCATCCCCTGATAATGACATAGTTAAAAAGTTCATCCATTATGTAACTTGTTATAAATGAGTTTGAATCTAAGTGATTTTTTTTTATTTACCTTTACAGATTTTCCATTGCAGGTGTCGTTATTGTCATATGAGCTTTTCCTCTTTCTGGATCTAGGAGGTTTTCTGGGACATCCATCGATGACAACTTCCTCTGTTTTCTTCTTCATGATGCTCTCCTTTATAGGTATCTATGTTAAATGAAATGTGAAAGCTTAGTTCTGAACTAAAAACAGATTGCTTAAATAGATTAGTACCTATAGTAGGATTATACTCGCACGACTCTGATCACAACCTGGCTTCGGTCCGAATAGTAGTGTTCTTAGAGATATTAAACTCTTAATTCTGTGTAGTACTAAAATCTCTGCAGCTGAGCTTAATTGTATGCCATTTTTCACCATTTTATGACAGGGCGGGAAAGTGAAAAAATCGATTTCCCTCGTACCAAATTTCAAATTATGAAGCATGAATCTGAGTAAGTATATCAAAAATTTCAAAAAGTAAAGGTAAGTATAAGTTTACCTCCAATTTGTTTATTCGAAATCTACTTAGAGTGAATTAAGGAAGTAATATATTTTGTTAAGATATGATGCGTGTTTTAATTTGTAGATCTCTATCTTGCTAAATGATAGAGTAGGTACACAAATATAGCGTTTTTAATAATAAATCAATGATTGCAGGTTTTCCATTTTATTTAAGAAACACAAACATGTCTCATAAAAAAGTGACACAAAATTAGCCGAGGTCATTTATTTATGTTTTATGCTAATCAATGGTTGACTACACTAATAAACTACTTTTGTGTGTATAGTACTTGTGATTTGGAGAAATGTCAAGTTTAATTATGACGTCGGAACATATCAGTTCAGTTCACATCCCCGAATCAATTCAGGTAACTATCTCTCACAATGCTATGATTTTTACTTTTAGATTATCGCATGATTTCATATGTTCGACATATCTAACATAATTATAAAACATAAGATTCAAACTTGAAATCATCCAGAAATAAGAGAAACAGTGCTGGTCATAGTTGAATTACAAATAGATATAGAGAGAAGTAGGTAATCTTAGAATGGCAAACATCTTCTGGTCACTTGCGTGATTTCCAAACTTTCAGTACAATCTTCAACCATCCATGAGTTCAACGTCACTATCATCGGATGTGGGATGAAGGCTGTATAATGTACACATAATATTATTGTTAGCTAATATTACTGTAGGTTAGAATTTGGTAAACTTAGAAATAATACATACTACTAAAACTTACAATATATTTTCGAAGTGTTCCACCTCTAAGTGACCGGTTGGATGAAAATCAAATGTAGAGATACCCTGCACACTTTCAACGTTTATACCACCTACATGTATATCAAATAAACATTAGGAAAGTTGTAATTTAAATCTGGAACATCTTAGAAAGACATGCTAATAAAAAGTTGCTTAGAAATCTCAAACAGATTACCATCTGATCCAACTACTCGCCAATCAGTTAAGAGGATGATATTTGTTCCAGTGTAACCATAACAAAGCCAGAAACGTTTGAACTTATCTGCTAACTCTCCTTTCGCACGAAAGTTAAGCCCATTGCCACTTAAAACATGAAAAACAGGTATTTCAGTTTCGTATTACTCACTTCCAAGCAATCTATACTATTAAAGACAATAGGTTTATAGAAATGATATACTTACTTGTTGTCCAGAAGCATAAAGTCAATCTTGCTAATATATTTGTTATGCATGTTCCACCTATTCCTAGGAAGGAAAGGATCTATCATAGTGTCCAACTCCCTCACAATAGTTATTTGACCTATAAAATCTGTAATGCCACATCAGATATCACTACACGAAGTATTGCCTCTAAAAATAAAACATTTTCCTATAAACAGAAAAAATAAATAATTCAGCAAATTACCTCTAAGGAAAGATGTTCCGTCTTGAACAGCTGAACGATAAACATCTCCAAATGGAATAAGATCCAGAGGAATGAAACCATTAAAGCACTCAGAGTTAGAAACTTGGGTATCACGCGTGAGAACAATTTCTTTCCTCTGTTTGGTCAATCGAATCTCTGTATTAACTAACTGGACTTTGAAACCAGTTATGCTCCTCCAATCTTCTTCATGAAGTAGTCCCCTGAATCTCCGTTTCTGATCTTCTCTGTCCACGAAAGCATGCATCTTCGTGCCCTGTTAAATTTGTAGGAAAGATTGAGGACAGATAATTTAGTTAGTATCATGTATCATAAAACAATCTATACTATTAAAACATGATTTAAGTTCTAATTACCTCATCATCAACAAAGAGGAAACTTAGACCTTCAAAGGTATCAACATCAAGTGTATCCCAGATTTTAAACTTTCACAGTGATCCGTAAATCATCACGGTCTGGTGTAATATCAGCGAGTTTAGCGTTGTTCATTGTTTAAATTTTTTTTCAGATCTAACTTTTTACTGGTTTTGAAGTTTAGATGATAAGGGTTCCTATTTATATATTCTTCATAAAGTATATTAATACGCGTTAGCTTGATGGTACACGCAATATATTGAGATCTACTTAATTGATTCGCTATGAATATCTAAACTGACAATTTCGATTGAGTGTCCCGTAAATTGAGGCGGACTTTTGCAGTTAATGGTACTGTAAATATACTGAGGATTCTCTGAATATATTCACTTTTTCAGAAAAATCTTATCTGACAGTTTCAATTTTCTTTGTAGGTGATTATTACTCAAGCATGAAACCTTGACCAATTTCTCAATACAAAAAGATAAGTATAATTCGCTGCCCACCAATTACTTCTAATCCTTTTTTCCTTAGACTCTAGACTGAATGGGCCACAAATTGTGTAGGCCTTATGAACACTCTATTTTCTCTATAATATTGATGTAGATAATCTCAAGTAGATAAGTCTCAGGTACTACACTAATATTGATTTGGTAAACGATGTCTCTACTCTTGGCATATATACTTAGATAAACGGTCTTAGGCTCTTCAGATGATAATACTATAGATGTAAGATAGTCGATATAAAGCCAACTGAAGTGATAATTGTAACCAACTTATTAAAAAATCCAAATAATATCTCAAATACTGAAAAAATAAAGCTCAAGCTAGAAAGGTCTTTAGAAATTCAAAAAACAAAAAGATGACGATGTTGACTCATTATTCCTTGTGACAGTTTGGGATGCACTACTCGGTCAACGTCTTCACATCAACACCATTGCTTTCGTCTTCTAGGTTGATGAGCTTGGTGCACTGTTTCTTTGAAGTGGAAGAGAGCTCACTTCTGATATTGCTGTCTTCAATACTGCGCTTAGGAGATGGTGTCATCCCATTGCTCTTCACAACAGAGGCCTGAAATAAATGAATATGATGAGAGATAAGGTTAGCTCTGGAACTATGAGTATAGTTATATACACAGATCCTAAAATATAAACTTCGCATACCTCATTGTCAGAATGAATTTGAGAGAGATCATCCTCAACAGTAATGATCTCATTGGCTGAATCAGAATGACCCGTGATATGACCATTTTTCACTTTGTGAGCCTTGTAGGTGTCATTTCCATACATGATGTGCTCCTTCTCTACACCCACCAAGAAATCGAAAGTGTTCCCAACCAAATCTTTTATGGAATCAGGAAGAAGTTCCGGGTCTTGAATCTACACAGGTAAAGTTTTATGCATTTGTATATTTTGTAATGCTGCTTATATTATAAATTCAATTGGATTCGATAGTACCTCATCAGTAGAACCATTAAGTAGGAATGCAGCTGTCTTGTTGACCATCCCGTTAGCAACAGAATCCATGAGCATTATCTTAGTCTCACCAGAATCATCTTCAATGATTAAATGTAGCTTGAATCTATTGAAGAAAAATAAAATTTCCTTGTAAGTAAAAAACTAAGTAGAACAGACATATTCAGCATTTCTGTATCAGATGCAGAGTATAGACTTACTTTGGTGAAACCGCTTTGATATTTGTCTTGCAGTTATCACAATACCAAATAGGAACTACTGGTCGTGGTCTGGTGGAAGACTCCTTTTTCAAGTCTTTGAAAACCCGATGTTGACATTTAACGCAACCAAAGTAATACCATCCCCAATCAGTATCAATAGCAGTGACCTTTGCACGGATTCTAAATTTCTCAATCTACAACAATAAACAAAACAGTAAGCTCAAATCCTACTCTAGTCATATCCAACTTTGTTCTTTGTATCTATACTATTAAATTCCAAAACAGAATCATTACCTCGGTAGAACTCGTGACATCATAAACGGACTTAAGATCAAGCGTCAACCACTCATCCGCCTTTTGCTGTTTCTGAAGCTGCACTAATGCATCGTCCTCTTTCAGGTTCATTGCAATTGCCAATCCATCAGAAGGTAAACTACAACATTCATTTCAAGTTTTGGTAAGTATAATTAGATAAGATTACTGTAATGTAGATTAATATAATCTACAAAACTCGTTAAAAATAAGACAAAATCTAGATTAACCTTGCTCGAAAGTGGTCAGCCTCGGGACATACTGGATTGATAATGAGTTGAGATGTATCATAAGCATTGGTAACTTGCAAATCTCCTATGCAATGTAATAATGTTGATATGAAGTTAACTTTAAGCAATACGGAAAAATCAATTAAGTTCTGTTTAGGTTTTTTTTTGTATGCTTGCCTTGATAGAAGTTTATCTTTGCAAATCTGATCATGCATATCACCGGTTCGCCATTTGCTTCCTTGCATGCATCATATAACTGCTCAGCATAAGACTCCCAGAGGCATCCGCTAACACGTTCATCACTGCAATTATCCAATACTTCGTGATTAGTCTATTTGTTCATTCAAACAAACACAAAATATAGATCAATAAAATAACATTAGAAATTAATCTTACTCAGTGTCTCTCAGAACAAACTCGAGCTTACGTTTTCCTTCCCTTGGACAGGTACAGTTTGGATCTCCTGGACGTTGAGTACTTGACCAATGAAATCTGGTGGAGAATGAAGCCAAAACCAGTTCATACATTACAGAAGAAGAGGAACAGCTCAACTAAAGGTTAATAAACTAAACTTTATATAAACAATGAGACTATTACCGATGAGTATGCAGTGGTTCAGACCACCATCGAAATAGTCCGAATAGGAATCAGTTCAAGAAACTGGCTGTCGTTTTTAACCGAGCAGGTGCTTACTTTCGTGTTCAATGTCATCGTCATCTTCCATTTGCTGTTTGTAGGACGGAACTGACCCGTTGCATGAGCAACCTGGAAATTGTCAAGGACTCTCCATTCGCCAACTTTCAAATCCTTGGAGATCCTGCCTATGTCCTTCTTCTTCGCTGCAGCATGTATTTTTCCACCCTGCAAACAATAGTCAAGTGTGCTTAACGATATTAAAAGATTATCTATTTTACAGAATCTTAACTTACATGTTCATCAGCCAAGACAAACTCCATCGTCTCACCGGCCTGGCCAACGTATTGTCTCCAGCTGTGTAGGACTTTGACACGCACCCTCCAGGTCGACTTGAAGGGTTTGAGATCATCAAGCTTGGTAAACATCTGACCAATAGTCATTATGCTTTGTTTTAGGTTAAGATTCTGTTTTGAAATGTGGATGGTGAGGAGGAATGAGAACTTCTTGGGGGGTTCTTTATATTTATAGTATAGGTCTTATGTGAGCAAGTTAGGGTTTCAGTCGCTCTAAACCCCGAAGATTTTGGAAACTCGAATATATGACAATATATTGTTTGCATAGTTTGTGGAAAGATTATCTTAAATCATGCGTCGAATAAGTTGTTTTCTTCTCTCTTGATTGCAGATTTGATAATTACGGGAAAGGCGGATGATCACGTTTACAGTTAAGCATATTCCAATTCTGAATACACAATCATATATTCGAAAATTCGGGTAGTTAATAGTTATCCTTAACTGGATAGATTATTCGAATATCCGGTTTAGCTATTAATTGATGCGCACGTTTTGTATTTGAAGATTAATCGATTAGATTCGCCGGTATGATTTAAGTTTAGAGGTTAATTACGGGTTAAATCCTGTTTGGCTACAGGGATAGGGTTTTGTTAGTGCACTTTCTTTTGTTGTTCCTCTACTTTAATAGTATAGATGTTATACTATTATAAAATCAACTTGATAGATAATTTTTGGAGATACATGTCTTTTATAAATAAACTCGAAACATTTTAACATATTCAAATGTTAATCATAAAATGTTGTGCAAAGTTGAACTTATTTTTAAAAGTCTAAGTAACCAAACATCAATTGAATTAGAAGTGTAATAATATCATCAAAATTATGAGTCATTTAACGAAATATATATGTGGAAAACCTATTTTAGTCTCCTTTAATAAAGAAAAATACACATTCTTCTTTCCTTAGATTTGCTTTGCAAAACTGTTCAAACTCTTGTATTTGTGAATAATGTCGTCCAGTTATTTCCCACAATGAAACAAACGGTGAAGAGAACGACAACATATTATTGGTAAAGTACTATTGTATTTTAATCCCAATAATTTAGTTTCTTATTCTGAAAAATAATTTATTCTTACATGGATACATTAATACTAGTTCTAATTAAAACTTATTTGTTGTACCAATTCCTTTGTGCATTTTACGAGATGAAAGACGATAACAAATTTACATATTATTTTTAAACTAACCAATATATCAAATAACCTACACTATTTTCTTGCCTTATTTTATCTTCTAGTTCTTGTCATGTTTTCCATTTCTAGCTTGGTAATCCAATTCTTATATGATATTACATTATCTGCAAAGGAGAATAGTATCTTACAAGAACATGTTATGAAACAGTGATAGGTGGTCTTTTCCAAAAATACAAATAAGTAGTCTTTTATTTCACTGATCAATTTGGGTTAAGAGAAGGAAAAGCTGGAATAGACCGTAAGATCAGCTTCCGGTCATTACTTCTCTTCCCTAGGATCGAGCCCGATTCCGATGAGCCGGGATGCGGAGAAGAGACTCTCTTGCTGTTGGGAGAGATGGCCTTGATGGTGGTTATAGGGCAAGTGATGAGAATCTCAGTCATAATCTCTATTTTGTCTTGGGCCACGGTTTCAAGAGTCTTCTTCTTCTCATTCCTTGACTGCGTGAATTCACCGTCTGCTTTTCTCCAAGAGGACGAAGAACCAGCGCCAAGGAAAAATTGTGTCGGAGGCAGCCTGTTCTTGGACAAAAATGGCTGATGAACCACAAAATGTCTGCAAAAAAAAGGCAAATCAGGAGCTGTCTTGTTTTGTATATTGTTTAAAGGATCGATAGAAGAATTAACTGTACGGTGTCATAGGTGTTGAAGGTTGATCAGAACTTGGGATTTGCTCCACTTCTTTTGGAACCTCAGAGTTGTGTTGGATCTTTGCTGTTCTTTTCTCATATATCTCATGATCCTCTGTGTGTTTGCTCTCCATGATCACATGTAAAGACCCTGAGGCTGTAACCATGTCTAATACTAAACACTTTGGGATAATAAAATTGTTGTGGAATAAAAATTGGAGCAAAAGAAGCTAACCATATATTCTGCCGAATGCATTCTTACATCCTTCACATCTACAGTTTATGGAACAGCCAACTCCACCCTATAAGATCATCATAACAAAGTATCTGAATCATGCACTGGAAGATAAACCTGCACAGATGAACATGGAGTAAAATGATGAGTAGTTGATAAAAGAAACAAACCTGATAGCATTCACAGTATTTCTTCAGACAGCTTGATTTCTTGCAGCCACGTTTGTGTCGTGCAAAGCTGGAGTTTTACTTGCATCATGCAAGGTTACAATTTCATCATCCCCAGAGAGAGAGAGAGAGAGCTCTTACACCACTATTCCATGATGGAATCTGCGCTTCTGATGACTTTAAGAACGAATGCAAGTGGATTCCGGGATTCAATCTGTTTGCGGGTAGCCAAGACAACGTCTTCATGGATAGGTTTGTTGAAGCAATCAACACATGAACACGGTTCTATGCAATAAACCCCAGCAGCAAATCATTCACAGTACCTGCAGGGAGAGAAAAAGAGACTCAAACTTAGTTCAAACCAATCTCAATATTTCAACATGCAAAGATTAAAGAGGACATAGGTGTATGCGGCTTACAGCTTCAAACAACCACCACATCTCTCTAAGATATTTCCGACTTGAAATGGAGATGACGGTAGACCACAAAGCAAAGAAAGATTCAAATATGAAGTGTAATCGGAAACAAAATATGACCTAATAGTGTGGTGAAGAGCCGACACCACTAAAATTAAAATTAGAGACTAAATATAAGTATGATGTACACATAAAAACCAAACACTTGTAGGCTCTTCAAGGTTGTATTATTTCATCGATTCTTAGAAGAATGAAAAACCGTCCACAATGCATCGATAAAACCCATTACAGCATGTGAAGACACAAATGTCGAGACAAATATAAACCTGATATGAAATGCACAGACAGAAGCAACAATGGTATCACCTATAAAGCTGTTCCATCAATACCACGATAGCTATCTGATGATTAAGAAGGATGGAGGAAAGTCTGATGGTCACATTAGCTCGCTTCTTGACTTGTGTTCAATGTCCATAAGCTCCACCTATACAGAATAATATCCTCGAAGCTCCCTGAAAACAGAGATAACCACAGATAAGCTCCTTGTTAATTACCCTCTTAAGCTTTCCATTTGTAGAAGATAGCTTCCAAATCCCAGCACTCATTACATACATTCAGTTTGATTACTTTCGAGGAAGAGTATTGGTGAAGGAAGAAGAAAGAGAAGGTATAAGAGGCTTACGCTATTTCCTGCATCCCGCAGTAAAATTCACCCATCTGCTCTGAATCAACACCACAGCCTCCGTCGCTGTTGGAGGAGAGAGGAGATGGTAAACAGCGATAATCTCCTGAAAAGAGGAAAGGTAAAAAATGACTAAATCGTAATCAATACGGTGTACATCAGATCGCAAAAGTTATAAATACAACAGTAACCTAGAGAAGCCATCTCAATTCTCAAGCGATAAACTATTTCCCCTGAAGAACAAAGGATCAAATGCCAAAGTAGAGCTGAAAACAGGGAGAGTACCTGTAGAAGAGCAGGGATGGTACCAACAAAATGCCATAAAAGCGGGGAGCCAAATCCTGAAAGAAAAGCAAAAACACATTATGCATGAGAAATCACTGATAGACATGAATTCAGTGATAAGAACGCATACACCAAAGTATTCTCTGCTTAATGAGTGAAATCAAAAGCAATGAGCTCAGGATAAAATCAAAATCATTCAACTTTCCAATTGTCCAACTTCTAATTCCTAATCATTTCCGTCCGCTCTTCAGGGAAATTCTAGAATCCCAGTGATTATCCTACCAAAAGTTTCTCAAAAATTTGCCGCAGAACAAAAAGAAAAGAATCGCTAATAAGAAAGCATGTCCTAGATTCACCGTACTAAGAAAACCAAATACATTCAAAACTCCATCAGATAAAACGCAGGAAAAACAAAAACTATCAAAATTCATAATCCATAGAAGCAAGCAAGTCGAATCCCGATAGAGAAACGGACCTTGGTTTTAGATTAACTTGTATAGTTTCAAAAAAAAAATGATAAAAAATGTTTTGTCCTTTTTCTGTATTAGTCAAATGGTAAGACCATAAAACAACAAACAAATAATTAGCATATGTCAGTAGTATGAGAAAGAAAGAAATATGATAAGAGAATCCAAGAATGAAAACCCAAAGACTTTAACGTCGTATTTTTTGATCAAAAGTAAGTTGATTACGTACCGAGATGTTTCAACTCCCGACTAATCCAAAGTGGTCGACCAGGAAATAGCGATAGCTTGTATATCATCGATCGACCATGTTGCGCGATCATATACATCCATGAGACTCACCAGATCCTCGTGGGAAGTCGCGGTTGGATTCTGATCCTCACGAGATCCTGCTTGAACTCTGGTTTAATTAATGTTCGCAATGGAAGCGAAGGAGTAACGTTTTTGGCTAAAAAAAAACCTTTTTTTCCTGTGAGAGGTGAACGTGAATGGACAAAATGAAGGAGGAGGTGAAGGTTATGCATGATGTACTCACCACGAATCATCCTTTGGGCCGAGATGACCTCACCACGGAATACCGCCGAAGATCTTACCAGGAAAGATAATATGAGGCAAATTGGAATCTCCCAGGAGCATATTTTCCCCAATCATCCCTACCCGATTTGGAATCACACTTCGCTTGCCTTAAGAATGAATCTGATTGGGCTGCAAACGGAAAACAAAGAGGAGAGGTGTGTAAAGGGGAAAGAGAAGCTAAGAGAAGGAGCTGTAAAAATCTGAGGCAATTAATTTGTATCTATTGCGCTAAGGAAGACCAGAGAAGAGCATCGACGATTTACAGGGGATTGTAACGCTTGCTCTGTGAAAAAGAAAAGAAACGGCGATTAGAGAGTTTAATTAAAATAAAATAAAAATCGATTGGAGAGAAAATTGCAGGGCGTGCCACGTGGCCATCTCTCCCGTGCTGACGTGGCGCTCAGCTGGAGAGAGATGACCATCTTTTATAGTATAGGATTAATGTGATATCCACATTTTTTTAAGAAAAATCATTCATATAAAATGAAACTTATAGTAGTTTAGTTTTTGTACTGAAAAATTCAATATTTTTGTGAAACAAAAACCAAAATGTTATTCACCACTTATGATAAAACCAAAATGCACACTATGATCAATAAACTGAAGTAATTGTAACGAATCAATTTACAGCTCGGGGAACTAAAAAAAAAAAGAAAAGCACAAATCGACCCTAAAGCCACACTTTCATTCAGATCACACTCACAGAGGTTTCTCAAAGTGGAAGAAAACAAAAGAACAAATGTTGACACTACAAAGTAAGTTTCAGATGGTGAGATTTTCTTGTAGAGCAAGAAACGAGCCTATGATCTTGCCACCAAGATCAGGGAATGTCTCACATCCAGGAAGAGAACTCACTTTGCCTGTTCTATCAACTTGTACTGGATACTTAAGAAGATGACCTTGCATCTCTGTGACCTCATCTGCTGCATACTGTCTCCAGTTGAGCTCACTCAATTGCCTAACTCGTCTCACACATTCCATGTTCTCTGGCTCTTCGAAACCTTGCTCTAAAAACCCTAGATGCTCTGCCCATAGAGACATTCTATATCCAAAGATCTGCAAGTGTGATTGAGAAATATATATTGGTTAGTTTCTGGCTTTTCATCACTAGAATGCAAAGAAGTAGAAGTTTTTGAAAGTGGTTTTTTACCTGACCACGAGGACGAGAACCTTTCTTAGCCCATGAATGGTGAGGCTGATACCCTCCCATGGCGATTTCAGTGTCTCTTGTTCCTTCCAAGGATCTCTGGTTGATGTTCGCGGAACCGATCAAGACAAACTCATCATCCACTACCATACCTTTGGAATGAACATATATCATGAATCTTCGACTCTTCAGAGCTTGCACCTGAATTATTTTGTTGGTTCAGTGAGTAAACTATGCCATTAAACCGAAACTCAGAGATTTCAAAAGAAGGCATTTATTATACCTGTGTAGCATTTATTACAGACAAACTCATCTTTTATAGTATAGGATATAGTCAAGAATGCAATAACATTTCAAATGTCAAATTTATGCCATTTTAATGCAAACAATTTATTCATGTTAAATATTTAATATGGTCAAGAGAATTTCAATTCAAATAATTATTCATTTCAGTAATTAATTAAATATATTACGAAAATAAATAACTAAAATGAGAAAAGCAAATAAATAAATAAATAAATAGGAACAATAGATGTGCAAAATAAATAATAGACAATGTAAACAATCAAAAGAAGTAATAAACAATATAAAATCCTTCAGGAATATAAATAAGATATAAATCCTTCAGGGATATAAATAAAATAAATAAAACATAAATCCTTCAGGGATATAAATAAAACATAAATCCTTCAGGGATATAAATAAAACATAAACATGAAATATAAATAAAACAAAAATATGAATCCTTCAGGGATAAAAATAAAATACAAATCCTTCACAGATATATATAATTGACATATATAATTCCTTCAAGGAAAAATAATATATAAAACCTTCAGGGATATATATAATTTTTTTTTGGTTTATAATATTAATCCTTTAGGGATATAGTTTAACCAGAGAAAAAAAAAGTATTCTAACAATTTGAATTAACATATTACGAAAATAAAATAAATATATAAAGCATGTGTTTGCTGAATCCAAAAGATTATCAATAAATAATATAGATTAAGTATTGATATAAATGAATTTTAGTAGAATAAACACAAATCAACAAAGTAATAGAGATTACTCATTGAATTTGTGAATTCAAACTATAAGAACTATTAGAACTATTACAACTTTTGTGATTACCTAGAAAAGCTAAGAGGTAGAACTTTCGTGCTCATAACGTGTTATGAAATGAGAGAATGGAATTATCTTATTCATGAGTAGAGGAGCTCTTATATAGAGTACAAAGCTAGGGTACAAGGAGAACATGTGGTACAAGTGTAGTGGGCCTAATGGGCTAATGGACATCCACATATTTACCCATAACAGTTTCTTATTTATTAGTATTTTTTTGTTTGTGTAAATTTTGTATATTATGTATTTTATTCTAATATTGTATATGTTGGGGTGGGGATACTTCCCGTCGAGTTCAACGATAAAGCATGACGCATGGTAAGGAAGGGAGAGCTAAAGTAAGGCGACCTGTACCGGTACGAGCTCTGCCACCGCAGTAGTTCGATCGATCCCGTCACTACAGCAGTAGCTCGATCGATCCCGTCACTGCAGCAGTAGCTCGATCGATCCCGTTACCGCAGCACCAGCTCGATCGATCCCGTCACTGCAGCAGTAGCTTGATCGATCCCGTCACTGCAACAGTAGCTCGATCGATCCCGTTACTGCAACAGCAGCTCGATCGATCCCGTCACTGCAACAGTAGCTCGATCGACCCGTCACTGCAACAGTAGCTCGATCGATCCCGTCACTGCAGCACCAGCTCGATCGACCCCGTCACTGCAGCACCAATTGATCCCGACACTGCAGCATTCGATTGAGCCCACAGGGAGAGGAGATCGATCGAGTATGGGCCGAGCTGTAACTATCTTTGGGCCGAACCGACATCCATCCTTAGCGATTTGAGCCCAAGCCCAAAAAGAGATTCACAGTTCGCCCTAGACAATGGTGAGAGCCAAAGGAACGGCGCCACAACAGATAACAGGAAATCTTTAGAATATCTTTAGAGAATCTCGGAAAGAGTCGGTTCTATACCTTGTATAAATAGAGATCGAACCAAAGGGGTTCGATCATCACTTTTTTCATTGCAAAACACTTTACACTTTACATCAATAAAATCACCATCTTTGGATCTCGATTCGTGTTATACTTAGAATTTCTAGTTCCTCTCTCAAATCATCTCTCAAATCTATTGTGCGGATTTCGGTTCACACAGTATAGTTACTTTTTTCTTAATATCTAATCATCTGACATTTGTATACACAGTTGTCCTACTAATATCAATGACACTTGTCATTTCTATCCTAAACTCAACTTTAAGACATTAAACTACAAGAGAAATAGACTTTGACTTATAAATTGGTTGAAGAATTTGGTGAACATAATAAATCTCATTGCTATCATGCATGAAACAAAAATAACAACATGTGTATATGTTTTTCTTCCTTTACACATGTAAAGAGACAAAAGCATGACAAGTAAAAAAATAGAAACCAGAACTCTTCTCGATGTTCAAATATAGGGTAAGGGAGGAGCCTCCTTAGAATCTCAGAACATAAGTAGTCCAGCGAATGTCTCAGCTGCAATATAAACCACACTTTCTCAATAAAATTTTCTCTACCTCTTCGATTAGTGATCAATGTTATTATATAACTCTCTCAGCATCACACAGTTTCTAATTCATACACTACCATTTGCTACAATACACATGTCACTAATTAATAACATATATAATAACTATCTATCAAATGACTAATCCTAAAATACTCAAAATTTCTTACGTATTCTCATCAAGCAAAAGGTATAGAGATCTAGACACAATTGCTAAACGTGGATCTCAATACCAAAAAAAAAAAATCAAATAAAATGTGAAAAGGGATTTAGGAGGCAACCTTGACCAAGGAGTACGTGAACCATATCAGGAGATGCACTAAATGTAACGTGTTGCCGGATCTGCCTCGAAGTCCTGTTAGTGACTGAAACTTGATTGCCTGAGAGATACAAATAATCGAGCCTCTTGGTTACTGTTAAGAATGCATTTAAGTCCATCGTAGTAGTTGTGTTCAAATGGTATAGGTAAAGATATTGTAGCGACTTGAGATGCGACAAGATGCTAAAGTCAAGTGAGCATTTGGTGTTTATATAAGAAAGATCAAGTAACTAAAGGTTGAGTAATGGGGAAATGGATGTGGGGATTGGCCCTATGAAGTTGTTATTGCCAAGGTATAAAAATACAAGCTTAGATGATGAAGATGTGTTCCCAAATTCAATAGTAGCGTTGAGTTGGTAGAAGAAAGAGTAATAAGAAATCTAATATATTATTTGCGAAGTGAAAATTTCGTTTAGAGGCACCACATTCAATCTCAGCTGGTTGATTACCCACATACCCTTAATGAAAATATATTATTAAATCTTGAAATTTCCTTTTTGTTATTATTCACGAATTATATTTTTCCTTAAAATATTTTAGGATAAAGACCATAATTACCATATTATCGTGCCACAATTTTGGAAAAAAAGGAAACAAACCCTAAATTTCTTGATCGACTTTCTCCTATATAAGTAGATACCAATAAGCAAAATATCACAATACAGTTTTCTTCTTTTTAGACGTGATTTTTAATTTTTGAGTTCTTACTTCTTCTGATGCCAAAATTGATCGTGAACTAATTTTTGAGTTCTTACAGCTTGAAGACGGTCTCACGCTGATGTCTCACAATCCTTTTTAGACGTAACAGGTAATTTATTTTTGCAAGCATGTTCTATGTATATAATTGTTTAACTGTTGTAATCTTAGATCTATTTTTTGTAATTGCATCACCTTTTAGGTTACAAAGAAGAATTGAAGGTTACAGATCATAAAGAGATAACAGATGGGAAGCACAATTGCACAAACTTTCAAAAGGTGATTAAAAATAGCCTTGATATTTCTGGGGTATTTCTGGTTTGGCATTCCTCTTTGAGTTTGATTTAATACAATACTTTAAGAAAAAAAAGTTTTTTTTGTTACCATCGAGTTAGATGTTGTAGAAATTTTTTGTAAAGGTAAGCAAAAGTTGTTCCAAATAAATATGTTTGTATGATAATCATGATTAATCAATGACATTCAAGCTCTTAAATTGGTTAAGCTGCTTCGTGTATTACAAATACTTCTATATAACTAAGTTAGTTTTAGTTGTGGATTCTGCTCTGTCTGAGGTTCAACATATCTTACAAGTAATTTAGTTAAATTGTACAGAATCTATTTTCTACATATGTATGTTTCGCTATACATGTTCCCCTTTAGGAAACATGGATACCAGCAAAAAATATGGATAGTTTATTGGCGAATGGACTCTTGGAATCAATGCGGGAATGAGTTTTACTGAGATATGGAAGTAAGATATTACATTCCCACTTTAACTATAAAATGAAGAAACTATGTTTCCCACACTGTTTTCTTTCTTTAACAAATTTACTGGCATTAACAATGTGATATCAAAGTCACGTTTTCATATGCTTAGTTTCTTTCTTTTGGTGCAAACATTAATGAATCATGGAACTATTTTATTTCGCGTGTTTTGCAGATTTACTTTGGATATGATCTCTATTTCTTAATCATGTTCCTTGCTTAGTGTGGGTCATTGAATTGATTAATTGAGTAAGGTGTGACTCTGATTCTTGGCATCTTGCTAGAGATGGTGATCAAGTGAAGGTACTAGAGTTATATGTAAGGGTTAAGATTTTTGTAGAATTTGTTTGATAATCTAGAAGAAACCATATTCTCACTACATAAAATGTGAATCTAAAATAAACACATTAAAAGATAGTAAGTATAAGAGAATCATAGTAGCTTTGAAACATCAATATGAGTTTCTTTTCCTTTTATTCAACAAATATAACGTCAATTTGGTGTTGTTACTTGTGCCTTAAGGGAACAAAGTCTTATGGTCGTGGGTGAATTGTGGTTGATCGATATCATGGAAAAGCAAGAAACTCATCTACTTGAAGCGTATGATGTGGTCAGTGATCTCTTAGTGGAAGGGAAATGATTTCTATCTAAGCGAGAAGGCACTTAACTTCAGATTCTGCAGCCAAATCCGAACAAGAAACAAAAGAGCTTCTGATTCAAAGTAGCTCGCAACAGAAGAATCCCAAAACAAATAAGAGAAAGCTCCCAAAAACGGATACGCGAAAGAATCTCTCTACTAAGAATTTTTTTTTTTTTTGCTGTATAATTTCGGAGTTACAGATTCTAACAGTAACAAAAAGAAAGAAACATCTCTGAAATCTGAATAGACATGATCACTATTGAAAACTCATAATATGTCATATAACTTTTTGAATTACTAATGTAATGTTTGCCTAGATTTCCCCAAACTTAAGAGTTAGGCTTTTAAACCGATTCATGTTATCACGCACATGAAAGAATATTAATATCACACATATGTTTTAAGCTCTTACATTCAAAATCTGATGCATCATATATTTGCTCTCCTCTTTTTTTTTTTGGGTTACTATAGTGATATAAAATCATATTCATACAAATTTTCTTTTTTGTCTTTTGAATATGTATTTGTCTAATACTCCCTCCGTTTCAGAATGTATGATGTTGTAGTTTTTTTTCTTGTTTCATAATATATGATGTTTTAGATTTTTTTAAGGTACTTTTGTCAATTAATGATATCGAATTACAAACTTCAATGACAGTTAATTAAAAGTAGTTGGACTCTTGAATTTCTATTGGTTAATATTTAGTGAAAAGTGATTTATATAAAAGAAATATACATTAATTGTTAAACAATAAATGTTTCTTAATTTGTGTAAAAACTCTAAAACATCATACATTCTGAAACAAAGGGAGTAGTTTGTATTCCTAGAAAAAAAAAATAAAGAAGAAGAAAAAAAACTGGTAAATAAGATGTTACAAAAGTCTAAAAGAAGAAGCTAAAGACATGAAAACCATAATAAAAAAGAAGAAGAAGAAGATTGATAACAGAAAATGATGAAGAAGAACGAGATGAATTAAGAAGAAAAACCTGAATAAATAAAAGAAGAAGACGAAGACATGAGCATAAGATTAAATAAGGTATGAGGAGATGAATAAGAGAAATATGAGAAGATGAGAAAAAATAAATAATAGAAAATAAAGAGGAAGACTAAATTGATAAATAAGATGTTGAAAAAAAAGAACAAGATTGATAATACAAAATGATGAAGAATACACTATGAAATAAGAAGAAAACCTGAATTATAATAAGGAAAAGACGAAGACAGAAAAAACGAAAGAAACAAAACAAAAGAAGAAAAGAATGAAGAATGTGTGAACAACAAAGAAATTGGAAAAATTAAAAGATAAAAAATGAAGAATAAGAACACAAAGCCAATTGAAAAACAAATTGAAAATAAAAGGAAGAAAACAAATAAAAACCAGGAAATAAAATGAACGATGAAGAGAGGAAAATAAAAAGAGAATAGAAAGTTTGATAAGAATAATAAAAAATGGTAGAAAATGAAAGAAGTGAAAGACGAAGTAAAAGAAGAAGATAATATGGGGTTGGGGTTTACGATGGACAGTTTATTTCGATTGGCGTAAGGTTTAGTCTTTGATGCACTTTAAAGATTTTGAATACACTACATTACCGATTAAAAAAAACTGTTAAGAAAAAAAAATAAAAATAAAAACAAATCTATAACCAATTTGTAAAACGTGGGGTTTGGATGTGCGGTTTGGGGAGGGGGATATAACGTGAGGTTCAGGTTTAGGGTGTAGGGTGGGGGAGGGGTGTTACGTTGTGTGGTTTGAGTTTAGGGTGTAGGGTTGTTTAAGAAGGGGGGGGAGGGGAGGTGGGGGCTACACTGTGGCGAAAATGCATAAAAGACCCTATAACAAACTCAACTCCTTTGAATGACTAAACAGACTAACAGCAAACCCTCTTAACCAAACGGAGGCTTTGAGTTTTCTTCACTTCCTTTACTCTAGTCCTCCACGTAAGCTCGCATTTCTCCACCTGAACGTTTCTTCTTTCATAATAAGTATGATATATCTTATCAATACTCCCTTCATTCAAAATGAGCTTTTCCTCAAGCTTGTGATTGGGGAAACGCTTAAACAGATCCGCAGCCAGTTCCCAAGTATTGTCATGCTCAAGCTTATCAGTCCACTGCACCAGAAGCTCCACATCACCAGTCGCTGTATAGCGTTTGTTCAAGATAGCAGCTGGCTCGACAATAACTCCAGTAACGTAAGCCATAGTTGGAGGTAATGGCTGCACATGATGGTCCGTGCCCAATGCCTTCTTCAACTGCGACACATGGAACACGAGAACCCTCAGGAAGATTCAGGCGATATACAGCCTTACCAATCAACTCCATCACCTCATAAGGTCCAAAGTAACGAGCAACTAACTTCTGACAAAAAGCGCCAAACCACAGTTTGTTGACGTTACGATTTCAGTTTGAGATACACCCAATCCCCAACTGCAAACTGTAAATCCCTCCGGTGCTTATCTGCCGAATTCTTCATCAACTGCTGAACATGTAAGAGGCGTGCCTTAATCTCTAATAACATCCAATCCCTTTCGTGCAACATAGACTCCAACTCAAAGTTGTTGGTGGAACCAGGTTCATAGCGTAGAACAGCCGGAGGATCCCGGCCATACAGAACCTTGTAAGGAGTAGTAAGCAACGAAGTATGATAGGAGGTATTATACCACAGCTCAGCCCAAGACAAAAATTTATGCCAAGTCTTCGGCTGACCCGACGCAAAGCAACGAAGATATGTTTCCAAGCAACGATTTAGCAGCTCTATTTGGCCATCCGTTTGTGGGTTGAAAGCCATACTGTAGGAAAACTTAGTACCCTCCAAGCGAAACAAATCTTTCCAAAACGAGCTTAAAATGATCTTGTCCCTATCAGAAACAATAGACTTAGGAAGTCCATGTAGCTTGACCACATCCGCCATAAAGCACTTAGCCACATCAATCGCATTGAACGGGTGGCGAAGTCCCAAAAAGTGAGCATATTTACTCAAACGGTCAACCACCACCAAAATCACATTGAACCCTTGAGAAACCGGAAGCCCTTCAATGAAATCCATGGATATATCTTCCCACACTTGATTGAGAATAGGTAACGGATGAAGAAGTCCCGCACTCGGCACACTGAGCACTCGGCAACATACTTCTGCACCGTTTTGAACATCCCAGCCCAATAAAAAACAGACTGAATTCGGTTTAGTGTCTTCAATACCCCAGAATGACCACCCAACTGAGAATCAAAGGAATGAAACTACAGTCACTCGAAATAACCAAGCGCCGTTTATACCACAGTCTCCCATCGATAATCTCATAACCTTGCCCCGAAAAAAGTCTATGTTGTATCTGCGTAAGTAAGGACTGAACAGCCTGGCTTGAAGCAATCTCCTTGTAGATGCCATGTAACTCCAGTACCGACGGAATGGAAAGAGCCAGGAGAGTTGATTTAGTTGACTCACCAAGTGGAAATGGAATACGAGACAATCCATCGGCTGCTTTGTTCTCAGAACCAGGCTTGTAACATAAGTCGAAATCAAAACCCATAAGCTTCGTTAACCATACCCCAAATTAACTTTCCTCTGTTCAAGCAGATATTTCAGGCTCCTCTGATCTGTATACACCACAAACTTGTTATCAACTAAATAATGCTTCCACTTCTGCAGTCATCACTACTGCTATCAGTTCACGTTCATAAGCTGGTTTGAGCTGTTCACGCAGTATTAATCCATGACTGAAGAACGCAATAGGCTTTTGTTCCTGCAGTAACACTACTCCCACACCAAACCCAGAAGCATCATCACTCTCAAGTAAGAATTTCTTAATGAAGTCACGTAGAGCTAATATGGGAGCTGAGGCCATACATAAATACAACTATTTTCATTGTTACCTATTTAAATTACTCTAATTCCTATTTGCAAACATATTTAATATTCTTAAACTTACCAAAAATATTAATTTCGAAAATCTAATATTAAATCCTTTATATTATAAAATAAAAATGGAAGCACAAAAATTATCATTCAAAATATATTTAGCAATAAAACTAATTTATAAGAAGAATTGTTTGTTGTTAAATTAAGACATACGAAGGTTTATTTAGAATTATTTATGTGTGAAACATATTCTTATTCAAAAATCACAAATTTGAATATATATACTAGATTAGGCCCCGCGTATACGCGGGTTTATTTTAATTTCCTTTTATAAAAATCATGGAAAGAATATTAAACAAAATTTGATCACTTTTAAAAATAAGTAAAATAATATTAAAAACCCGATAATAAATCTCTAAATAAACTAAGATATGTAATATTTTTACATTTTAATTTTGAATTCATGATATGAAATAGAAAAGCTTACATGTGTCTAAATCTAATGGACTCGTTAATTTATGAAACTTTGATTATTCCATTGCTGAAACCTTTATTCTAAATATTGATGAATTTTTTTAATATTGTTTTATCTAACAAAAAAATGGAAAATTTAACTATTTAATATTAGAAGATTGGTCCATTATAAAACTTTCTTTTTAATATTATTTAGTTCCTTGATAATTATTTTGTTAGTTTTCTATTTATATTGTTTCTTTTTCAATTTTGTGTTTGCCTCTTACCATTATAAATTTTCATTTTCATTATTAATTAGTTGTTTTACAATTATTTTGTTAGTTTATTTATTTATGTTACTACATTTTTCCAATTTTATTGTGTTGACATATGTCATCACCATCAAATATTAGACACATGTAGCGATCTAAAGTTAATTATTCTTCATTGATATCTTGAACTTTTAAAACATGATTTTTTATTTCTTAATGAGAAAGAAACTTAAAAAATATAGCTTGTTATATTTTCCTTTTCGTATTTGGAATATGTTTTTTTATTCCTTATCTTATTGGATGTAACAATTTTTTAATTATTTCTTCATAATTTTCTGATTTTTCGTTTTTTTTCCTTTTCGTAATAGGATTATGTTTCTTCTTTACTTTTCCTAATGGATGTAATAATTTTTTCTTTTTAATTGTTTATTTTTTTTTTCTGATTTTTCCTAATGTACAAATAGGATTTTATTTATTACATTATTTTGAATTTTAATATGTGTTTGGACAATATAAATTTGATGAATGAGAAAACTTTTTCTATTATGATATGAAAAATATGATTTTTCTTCTTTTTACTCTAATAGATATTTTTTTTATTTTCCTTTTTCTAACATTTTTTAATTATTTGTTTTTTTTTTCCATATATATATATATATAATTGAGATTAAGAATTATATTTTTCACTGCATGATTTGTGTTTTTGTAACAATTTTTTTTTTTTTTTTTTTCGAACCGATTTTATTTTGATTAATTAGGTAAGCCGGCTTTTTTTCCCAGATTAGCGAAAAAAGAAAAGAAAAACATATCTAGCCATTTGACTATGCCTCACAAACTCGAGTCCCTAGTCAACGACCGATGGCACGTCTTCGTTTGTGCCATGTGGATCCAATCCGTCGCCGGCGTCGGTTATCTATTCGGCGGCTCTATGTCGCCGGCGATCAAGACTGCCCTAGGTTACAACCAGAAACAAATCGCTCTTCTCGGCGTTGCTAAGAACCTCGGTGACGCCATCGGATTCATCTCCGGTGCCTTATCGGAGGTCTCGCCCTCCTGGGTGGTTCTACTCGTCGGCGCCACTCAGAATCTCGTCGGCTACGGTGTTGTCTGGCTCGTCGTCACCGGTCTTTTGCCTGATTTACCCCTCTGGATGGTGAGTTCTTCTTCAAATCATATTCGCATACATACAAATGTCTGCGATTTCGTGGCTTAGTAATTTCATTTCCTTCTGAATTTTGCTATGGATTCTTGATTTAATGTGAATGTGTTAACTAAGAGGGCGTTGATAGCTAAGAAGTCGTAATAAATCTCTTGAACTTCCATTAGAGGAGATTTAAGATTCCATGCTTTAGCAATCCAGCTGTGAAATAAATGTGTATACTTTAACAATCTAGCTATGAATGATAAATGTAAACCAGATATCTCTTCCGTTGATTTGCTTGCTGAATATGTTACATGCCAATTTCTGAATACCAAGGAGAATTTCAAGTCATATATGCAAATGCAGAGCTTCAATCAATTATGTCAATGAAATGAGATGAAGTGATATAGTTTGCATTGTTACAAATCTGCCTATCTCAAGCTGATGTTTTGCAATCCAGTAAACTTTTAGACTTGATTTGTTATAATTCTTACATCGAATACATCATTTTATCACAGCTTCTTAAAATAGAGATAGAAGAACATAGGCATGTATAGTTTACTAATTTACTGTGGCAACTGACAAATATGACACAGAAATGGAATAAATGTTGATTGTGGTAAGTGTTTGCTTTTATACTAACTGATGTTTGGGATCAAATGACTATCTCACAAACAGATTTGTAACTGTAATCTCTTTTAAGTCTTTAGGTTTTGTTTCTTTAACTTACATAAGTATTGTTGGGTCTTACTATACCAAGCTCTTCCTATAGAAAGTAAAAGTTTTTTTTCTCATGCAGTTGTTTGTAGCTATATTCGTGGGAACAAACGGCGAGACCTACTACAACACAGCGTCTCTAGTGTCATGCATTCACAACTTCCCAGAAAGCCGTGGCCCTGTTGTGGGAATCCTGAAAGGGTTCTCCGGCTTGAGTGGAGCAATCTTGACTCAGATTTATTTGATGTTCAATCCCTCTCATGACTCTTCCGTCATTCTCATGGTTGCTGTTGGACCCCCACTCGTTGTTCTTGCTCTACTATTCATTGTTAGACCGGTGGAAACGGAAAGAAGTTGCAGAACGAACCAGCGATCAGATGATTTACGGTTCTTGGCTATTTACGGTTTCTGTCTTGTCCTTGCAGTATATTTGCTAGGTGTACTAGTGCTTCAGAGTCTCCTTGACATTACTCAAACGATCATCACAGCCTCTGGAGCAATCCTTGTGGTTTTCATGGTGATTCCGGTTCTTGTCCCGTTTGCATCGGTCTTCATCTCCGGAAATAATAATGATTCCAACTTAATGATGAAGACCGATGAAGGAACCTCGAACGTGGATAAGAATGAGGTTAAGACTTTGATTGAGAGGAGTGACATAAAGAGAAGAGCACCGTGCATAGGAGAAGATTTCACCTTGTTACAGGCTTTGAGAGAAGCCGACTTCTGGCTTATATTCATGTCTCTGGTTCTTGGTGTTGGTTCGGGGATAACGGTGATAGACAATCTCGGTCAGATTTGTTACTCCCTCGGTTACAACAACACCAAAGTGTTTGTCTCACTGATCAGTATCTCCAATTTTCTCGGCCGTGTTGCTGGTGGCTACTTCTCAGAGCTAATCATAAGAAAACTCTCGTTTCCAAGAACATTGGCAATGTCTGCGGTTCAGGGCATTATGTCTTTAGGACTAATCTACTATGCCATAGACTGGCCCCTGAAGATCTATGTAGTGACCATTGTGATTGGAATGGGTTATGGAGCTCACTGGGCGATTGCTCCTGCTTCAGTCTCTGACATTTTTGGCCTCAAGAGCTTTGGTTCTCTCTACAACTTTCAGATTATAGCTTTGCCTTTTGGGTCGTTTGTGTTCTCCGGTGTCATCGCGAGTAACATCTACGACTACTACGCCAGGAAGCAAGCCGGAACCACCGCGGAGAGTGAGTCGCTCGTCTGCACTGGCTCGGTGTGTTATTCAGTCACGTGCGGTCTCATGTCCGTGGTGTGTCTTATGGCTATGGTGTTGAGTCTGAGTGTGGTTTATAGGACGAGGAAGTTTTACTTGAGACTTCACCGAGTCTCCAAGACTTGAAGTTGTATATCATTTTGGTCTTTATAGAAAATATGTAAGCGATTTTTAATTAAGCATCTCCAAAGTGTTGTTAAAAGATGATTAGCTTAAAGAGTTATATAACTTGCATGATTACTAAGCATCATCTTATTATCTTACACACATATTACAACCTAAATAGTTCTCCAACAGTAACTACAATGTTTTATTTGTTAATCTAACCATGATTTTAAAATAATAATGGGTCCTAATGAATAATCTATAGATAGAAAAAAATCTTTCAATGAGTCATAAATCTTTCTTTATGTGAAAAGGGTCTGTCTACATTTTTTCTTTTGACTTTTTTTTAAGGGAAACTTCAAGACGAGAAAATCCAGCGGCATTAAATGAGAAAAGAGAAATGACGAAACGCCTTTGTAAGAAAAAAAAAGATTAATGATATTGAAAAAGGGGAAATGATGAAACGCCTATGTGAAAGAATGATTAATCTATTCTTTTTTTTTTTTTTAGATTTTGTTATATAAATGGAATTAATTCAAAATTTGTGATATGGAAGTTTTTGACAGGCTTTTTTATTTGGAGAAAAGGTTTGACAGACTACATTTGGCAAATATAGATAAAATCCTGAATGACATATACAAACATTGTAATTTCGTCATAAAAAACGTATATGCAATCCTTACCACAGGATTATCATCCTATCACTTGAAGTTTTTTTCACTTTGAATCTCAATACCAAAAGATGAATTGTTAATTTTTCATCTTGTAATCTGAGTGGTAGAGGAGAGAGTTTTGAAGCTGTTCGTTTTTTTAACCTCTAGAATCTCTACGCAAAGGTAATATCTTCATGACTTTGTGCGTTACTTTGAAACCGTCTTCTGTTTGTTTATTGTGTTTTGTCGCTCTCGTCTTTATATGTGTCTTCATTTGCATGGGTGGTTACGGCTTTATCTGATTTCGAGTCTACACTTTTATCATCAGTTTCGCTTAGGAGAAAACGGGTTTTGTTCTTCCTAGTCACAAGTCTAATTTGCTTTGAGGTACTTCGATTTAAAATTTTGATTTTTTTTCTTCTTCTTCTTCTATGCTCTTCTCCTGTGTTTTCTGTGGATGGCTCTGATTGATAGGTTGGAGTGGTTTTTTCCTGTTCTAACGTTCTATATATCTTTTTGTGTTTATTGATGTTTGTTAGATATTCTGCTTTAGCCAAAGATCTCTTGGAAACCCTATTCCATTTTCACAAGTTTTTCAGCTTCGTGAATTCTCACTCTTTTTTTTAACATATTTCTGCGCGAAAGCTCTATACTAATTTGAATTTTGCAACAAACTTTTATGCCAAAACTCTATACTGATTTAAGTTTTGCAACAATCTTTCGCGCGTAAATTCTATACTTAATTCAAATTTTGTAAGAACTTTCCTGCGGAAACTTGCTACCAATTTAAAATTTGCAACGATCTTTCCCGCGAAAACCGTCAATTTGTTACTGCATGAGTTAGTTTAATTATGATTAGTTCATTCTTTTGAAAAGCTTGATGCATTCCTTTTCTAAGACTTCAATATCTGAGAGATCTAAGGTTTAATATAGATCTTAAGGGGGACATAAATATCTAATGAAAAATATATCTGAATCTTGAATTTTAATGAACTTCATATATCAAATATATCTTTTAATCACTTAAGTTTTTCACAAATTTGGAATTGTATAAATTTGGCTTAGTGCTTTCAATTGTTCTTTATGTTTCAGCATTGTTCAAGAAGTGTCACATTCTATTTCTATTTTTTTTTATCTTATTTTTTTCATATTTCTGATCAATCTCTCTGTCTTGTAAGATCATGAACAGAGACAACATACCAATGGATGAAGCTAGAAGAATGAAAGCGTTTGCGGTGCAGAAGTACAAGATCGGCGATATTGTCACAGCGAAGCAGTGCGCTTGGAGAGCAAAACATCTGAATCCGAACCTTCGTGGTATTCAACGCCTCAACACACTTCTTGACGTGAAAATCGGATTCCAAAAGAGAATCAAGGGCACCGACATGGTTGATTGGTACGCTGTGTTGGGGGTCAAACCAACCGCCGATGTTGAAACAACCAAAAGACGCTACAGAGAATTGTCTACCGACTTGATCATGGACGTTGACAGTGAAGACTCTCTGGACAGTTCTGAAGCATTCAACATATTGTCTCAGTCCTGGAAAGTGGTGTGCGTTGAAAAGAAGAAGCAATATTATGACAGGAAACGCGAAATACAACTACGACTACAACATTCTTCATCATCATCGTCATCGATGAGTCGTGCTAATCCATGCAGCTCCAAGAAGAAGCAGGTCAGGAGAGCGAGTCAGTCTCCGAGCATGAGCTTGACTTCTTCTACTCCGGTGGTTTCTCCAAGTATGATTGGAGCTGCCTTGCTTGACAAAGGTAAAAAAAGTGTTATGCAGGGTCTTTACATGTATGGTCTTGCTTCTGGAGAGAGTAACGTTAGTTCTTCTCTTGGAGCAACAAAGATCCCTCAAGACTCAAAGAGAAGCAATGCTGCGAAGAGAGTTAGGTTTGTAAGCAAGGACACTGATGATGTTGTTATGCTTGAGAATGTGTTCAAGAAACCAGAGGAGAAAGCTGTTGGTGATGATGAGAAGCTTTAAAAGATGCAAGAAGAGAAAATGGATTAGATTGGTAAAGATGAACTTTCTCAAGAAACCCATTTTCTCTTTTGTTCATTTCTTTCTTGATTTGAGTCTTGAGATTCAATAAACTATAAGCTGAGTCAGTTTTGATTCAGTAAGACTTTATCTTTATCTTTTATCTTTGTTTTCGACTGTTGTTGAATACTCCTAGTACTTGATTTTCTTTCTTGAATTGAAGCATGGTTATTTATTATTGGTATGAGACTTTCATCTTCTGTTATATTTTTTGAAAGTTATTTTTCACCTTATATGTCAAAGTCTTAATGTGCTTTTGCCATTTGACTTGCAGCTTATAAGAAATTAATAGTGTTTACTCCTTTGTAAGATGTAAAAAATAATGAAACATAAATCACATATGTTGTATCTATCTCTCTATCTTATCTTACCTTAAGCAAAATTCCTAGCTAATTGGTAAACAACATTTCTAAAATACAAAGTTATAAATTTGGTAAAAAGAACTTCTAAAATATAGATTTCTTAACTTAATAAGCATAGATTCTAATCTAGCTCTCTATCTTACCTAAAGCAAAAAGTTTAAAATCAAGGAAAAATACAGGTAAACAAAGAAATAAAAAGACCAAAACAAAGAAATGATTTTCTTTTCTATGTTTCACTTTAAAAAATTACCTTTAATAAAAGATTTTGGCAAATATAACGTGAAATAGCTAGTAATTAATTACGTCAAAACAAGAAAGATTAAATGTGTGAAAATTTCATTAATATTTCCATTTGTAATTTTGTATCTGTACAGTGTAATGTATCACACGTAGGCACATAGAGGGAGAAAACTATCCACTGCTTCGTAGCCCACTGTATCTACCTACGCCTTATCTTCCCTATAAATACGCGAAACCCTCGGATCAAAATCTCACCGTCCCAAAATCCAAATCCCTAGAAAAAAATAAAATCAAATAAAATAAACTGAAAATGGAGAACAACAACAACAACAACAACGACGACATGACCGGAAACCACCACCAGCAGCTCCCGATACCGCATTCGATTCCGCCGATGTTCGACCAGCAGGTGGCGCCGGCGTTCGATCCAGCTCCGGCTCCGGAGAACCAGGCGCTGAAGAATTTCTGGATGCAGCAGATGGAATCCGTGGAGGATTTCAAGAGTCACCAGCTTCCTCTGGCTCGGATTAAGAAGATCATGAAATCGGATCGCGATGTGCGCATGATCTCCGCCGAGTCTCCGATCCTCTTCTCCAAAGCATGCGAGATGTTCATCGTCGATCTCACCATGCGCGCGTGGCAACATGCCGAGGAGAACAAGCGCCGTACGCTCCAGAAGCCGGACATCTCCGCCGCGGTCGCTCGCAATTTCGCGTTTGACTTCCTTCTCGACGTTGTTCCCAGAGACGATTCGCTCACCCCCGCCGCGGATTACCTTCCCGCCGTGCCGCATCCCGATGGTGCAGCCACTACTGGAACTGAACAGCAGTTTGTTTACTATCAGCCGCTGGTTGATGAAAGTGTAGAGTTCCCGACGCAGCCGTGGTCGATCCCTTGGCCGGAGGATGGTGACAGAGAAGATGTGGGTGGTCACAGAGACGACGAGGCTGTTGACGGAGTGGATGAGGATGAGCTTGAGGCGGAGGCTGACCAGAGCGGAGGAAACAGCGGCGGAAAGTGAAGTGGTGGATTTGGGGTTTTTAGGGTTGTAACCGCTTTTGGGTGGATTTGAATTTCGTTTCGTTTTCTTTTCTCTTTTTCGGAATAAATTTAGTTTTAAGATGTTTCAATTGGTGGTTTGTATTTCATGTGATTATGTGAATGTAGATGTGTCCATTTGAATATCGAAGACAATGGATTTATCATTTTTATTCGAAAACAATGGTTTTTATATTTATATATGCATGTAACTCATGTTATATTAGTTACAAAAAACAAAACAAAAATAAACTTTATATTATTTGTAGTTTAGTACTCGAGAAAACATCGGCTAAAAATATGCGTTATTATCTTGCTCTTAGTCGTTGACGACCATGACTACAGCATAGTCACTACTCACTAGCAACAAACGACCAAATTTTGTTTGTTTCGTATGTTTTTCACATCATTCGCTTCATGAATGGCTTAAAAACCAAAGAAGATTTTATATGGTTGGTTGCTAGAAACTACGAAACGGATGATAAAACATATCGTTTTATCTCTGTTGGTTATCTCCGAGTATATATTAATCACCTAGAAGTAACTAAGAATCGAATCGAACCGGACTTAAGTGTTTACAATAATTTATATTTCCATGATACAAAAATTACAGAAATATAATCTTACTTCGTAGTGATGATTTTCTGAATTAGCCAAAAAAGGTACGAAGACATGGGATTGATATAATTAATCAAATTTGATTTATCACAGTGTATATTTTCTATGAGTATAAAAAAACAAGATTGAATCGTCGGTTGCTAGTAATTATGAAAAAAAAAAAAATACATGTCGTTTACTGCAATAGTTAGTCGTTGTCACTGAATATTGTCACCAATAACTAACTAAGAATCGTACTAGACCTAGATTTCTACGATTACTTTTCTTTCCATAAAAAGAAAGTGAGTAAAATATAATCTTGCTTTGTAGTGATATTTTGAATTCGCCAAAAAATAGTTGGAAATCATGAAAATGAAAAAAAAAATAACTTTGTTTGTTTGTAGTTAGTATTAACAATCATTAGCTATTATGAGAATAGAACAAGCAAGATTGAAGTCGTCAGTTGCTAGTAATTATGAAACGAATAATAAATCATGTCGTTTACTGGTAGTTAGTCGTTGTCGCCGAGTATTGTCACCAATAACTAACTAACAATCGAACTAGACCTAAATTTCTACAATTACTTTTCTTTCCATATAAAGAAAGTCATTAAAATATAATCTTGCTTCGTAGTGATATTTTGAATTCGCCAAAAAAATGGTTTGAAATCATGGAAATGAAAAAAAAAATATAACTTTGTTTGTTTGTAGTTAGTTTTAACAATCATCAACTATTATGAGAATAGAACAAGCAAGATCAAAGCGTTAGTTGCTAGTAATTATGAAATGAATAATAAATCATGTCGTTTACTGCGGTAGTTAGTCGTCGCCGAGTATTGTCACCAATAACTAACTAACAATCGAACTAGACCTAAATTTCTACGATTACTTTTCTTTCCATATAAAGAAAGTCATTAAAATATAATCTTGCTTTGTAGTGATATTTTGAATTCGCCAAAAAAAATGGTTCGAAATCATAGAAATGAAAAGAAAAAAATATTAACTATGTTTGTTTGTAGTTAGTTTTAACAATCATTAGCTATTATGAGAATAGAACAAGCAAGATTGAAGTCGTCAGTTGCTAGTAATTATGAAACGAATAATAAATCATGTCGTTTACTGCGGTAGTTGGTCACTGTCGCCGAGTATTGTCACCAATAAATAACGAACAGTCGAACTAGACCTAAATTTCTACGATTACTTTTCTTTCCATAAAGAACCCCACTAAAATATAATCTTGCTTTGTAGTGATATTTTGAATTCGCCAAAAAATAGTTCGAACTCATGGAAATAATAAAAAAAAAAAAATTAACTTTGTTTGTTTGTAGTTAGTTTTAAGAAGCATTATATATTATGAGAATAGAACAAGCAAGATTGAAGCGTTAGTTGCTAGTAATTGTTGTTTACTACGGTAGTTGGTCATTGTCGCCGAGTATTGTCACCAATAAATAACTAGCAATCGAACTAGACCTAAATTTCTATGATTACTTTTCTTTCCATAAAAAGAAACCCACTAAAATATATCCAGGTTCACTCATAGGGTAATTTCTAATTAAGACAAGTTTTAGTAGAGAAATTACAATATATGCTATTACATTAATTTGGTTAGTAAATAATGTATATCAATTATTTATACATTTTCAGCATTTAATCATAAATGTATTATGAATATTTCCATATCTGATCAATATATCAAATTAATTATTTTCATAAATACTATATTTTTCTCTCATTTCTTAGTTAGACTAAATTTTATAAAAATAAATAAATTATCACATTAACCATATATTAAAAAAATGTTCATTTTTTTACACAAATTAAAATTTTAATATTTAAAAACAGATATCATTTACTAAAATGATGAAAACAATAAATATATCATCATAGTCCCACAATGAAAATGGAGATATATGATACTCCATCAACATGGAAGTTTAATTTAATAAGCATCCAAATATATCAATATATTTGGTTTCATATGGTTTTTTTAATAAAACTATATAGCTAAACCAAATAAATTTATATTATTATAACTATTTCATAGTGAAAAAGTTGAAAATATTATATCAAGATATTAAAATATTTGAAAAAATTTAACTTAGTTAAAAAGTCTGAATATTTAAATATTTTTTATCACAAATTTGAATATTATAAAATTTCAACTTATCTTATGAAATATATGAAGTACAATTTTTTTTTCAAGAATAATGTTTTATATTCAGTTTTTTTTTTTGTATTATCTTATTATATTGTAGTCATTTAGGTTTTATGTATATCACTTAAGTTTATCATATTTAATTTGTAGTCAAGATTTTAATTTTTTACCTTTTTAATAAAAATTGTTGAATATGCTTAATTTCTACACTATGAACGAATATATATGCTTTTATTCGTTCATAGTGTAGAAATTAAGCATATTCAACAATTTTTATTAAAAAGGTAAAAAATTAAAAATATTTTTTAATAAAAATAGAAATACATTTTTTAATTAAATACATATGCTTTTATTCAAAAAAATATACAAATTTAAAAACCGTCAACCCATGCAGGGCGCAGGCCCAGCTCAATTCAAAGAATCACTTAGTTTGTTAAACATGTCTTTCTTAAGCTCCATCGCTGACCTGAAACGTGTATTTTTTATGTCTTTCAACCTGTTTTATCATACATCTTTGGTCAAGTTTTATTTCTGAACCTTTCAACCTCTCGAAAAACTCATATACGATGATTAATTCTAAGTTTGCTCTAACAAATGACATGTTATAAAATATGCCATGAAAATACACACTTATAAAAGCAGTAAATTATTAGTAATAAAACATTAAACCAAAAGATTTCACCCCGCACAAGATGCGGGTCAAACTCTAGTTAGATATTATGAGAATAAAACAAGCAAGATTGAAGCGTCAGTTTCAAGTAGTTATGAAACGAATAATAAATCATGTCATTTACTGCGGTAGTTGGTCACTGTCACCGAGTGTTGTCAACAATAAATAACTAGCAATCGAACTAGCCCTAAATTTCTACGATTACTTTTCTTTCCATAAAAAGAAACCCACAAAAATATAATATTGCTTTGTAGTGATATTTTTGAATTCGCCAACAAAATGTTTGAAATCATCGAAATGAAGAAAAAAATATAATAATTTTGTTTATTTTTAGTTAGTTTTAACTATCATTAGCTATTATGAGAATAGAACAAGCAAGATTGAAGCTTTAGTTGCTACTAATTATGAAACGAATAATAAATCATGTTGTTTACTGCGGTAGTTGGTCACTGTCGCCGAGTATTGTCACCAATAAATAACTAGCAATCTAACTAGACCTAAATTTCTACGATTACTTTTCTTTCCATCAAAAGAAACCCACTAAAATATAATCTTGCTTTAGTGATATTTTTAATTCGCCAAAAAATGGTTCGAAATCATGGAAATGAAATAAAAAAATAAAAAAAATTTAGTTTTGTTTGTTTGTAGTTAGTATTAACAATCATTAGCTATTATGTATTATGGAATAGAACAAACAAGATTGAAGCATCGGTTGCTAGTAATTATGAAACAAATAATAAATCATGTCGTTTATTGCTGTAGTTGGTCACTGTCGCAGTATTGTCAACAATAAATAACTAACAATCGAACTAGACCTAAATTTCTACGATTTTGTTTTCCACAATAAGAAACCCATTAAAATATACAGTGAAACCTCATAAAGTAATACTCGATAAAGTAATAATCACTATAATTAAGATAATAAATTTATCTGGTCCCAACTCGGGCCAGTGTAAAAATTAGAAAAATGGAATAAGATTATAAGATAATAATATTTTTGAAACTCTTATGTAAAAATATGGTCACAGTTATTAGTTAAAGTAATCTTATTATATAAAGCTGGATGCGCGCGACGTGGTTGCGACACGTAGGATTTTTATAAAATTTAGGATTGCGACATGTGTCACTTTTAATGTTATGTCCGTTAAGATCGTGACATGTGTCTTAGAAAAAAAGAAAAAAATAATAATTAAAAAAAATTAGATAAAGGGAAAAAAAACGAAATTTTAATCTTTTATAGTTAAAAGAAAAAAAAATTATATTTTTCATATACTAATAGAAAAAGGTTTCTCATTCATCAAATTTATATTATCCAAAACACATATAAGATTCAAATTAATGAAATAAATAAAAATCCTATTATTACATGAAATAGGTTAGGTTTAGTTAATCTTTTATAGTTAAAAGAAAAAAAAATTATATTTGTCATATCCTAATAGAAAAAGGTTTCTCATTATCCTAATAGAAAAGGGTTTCTCATTTATCAAATTTATATTATCCAAACACATATAAGATTTAAATTAATGAAATAAATAAAATCCTATTAGTACATGAAATAGGTTAGGTAAACTAAATTTCCTATAACTGCATGGAATAAGTTACATGAACCCCTATAAAAAGAGAGTTAAAGTATTCTTTTTTTTTCTATTGCTACCACATACATATCTGGACATTCTTATTCACTTTCATATCCCTTGCTTGTCCAGATAGCTGATCTCCATCTTTGAGACAGTTACCACACCTTGAACCTAAGCCTTTTTCATTTCAAACCCCATATTATCTCTTGTGCGATTGTGAGAACCCTTCTTGGCTTTGCTAAGCAAACAACATGATAACAATACGTATGATTTTTATAACTCACAAAATTGCGATATGTGTAATAAAAAAATGATAATAAAAAAACTAACTAATAATGAAAATGAAAATTTATAATGTTCTGAGTCAAAAACAAAATTGAGAAAGAAACAATATAAATAGAAAACTAACAAATTAATTATCAAGCAACTAACTAATATTAAGAAAATATAATGAACAATATTCTAATTTTAAATAGTTTAATACTCCCTCTGTCCCATATTATAAGCAGTTTTGGTATAATGTATCTGCAATTTTTTTGATATATTTTCAATATCGTTAGGTAAAAAAAATTTAAATAAAGATTTCATCAATTGAAATCTCTTGAATGGAATAATAAAGTTTTGTTGAATTAATTAATCAGTTGATCATATTTAGACATATATAAGTCTTTCTATATTGGATAAAAATAAAAATAAAACAAATTAATTCATTTTTCATATCATGAATTCAAAAAAAATATCAATTACAATAAAAACGTAAAAAGGTTACCGATCTTATTTTATTTAATTATTTTTATCGGGTTTTTAATATTATTCTGTTTACTTTAAAATGATCAAATTTGGTTTAATACTTTTCCATGATTTTATTACAAAATCTTAAAATAAACCCGCGTATACGCGGGTCTTAATCTAGTAATTATATAAAACTATACATTATATATACCTAAGAAAATTATTAAACTATGAATTTATGTTTATCTCTAGCTTTTATTACATAAAAAACTCACAATGCAATTTTCTCTGCATGTAAAATTGTTAAATATGTTCTAAACACATTATTTTTAACTTCATTAGGGCATCTCCAATGTAGTGCCCCATATTGGACTCCAAAATGAAGAAATTTCAAAATAGAGTTGAGTTTTTCTCCAATGTATTGCTTCATTTTTTGCTTCAAAAAGAACATTCTAAGTATATTCTCTTTGAAAAACTTTTTATTAATTACTAAACTTACATTGTATATCTATATATATTACAAACTGCCCTATTTATTTTTCTTCAAAACTTTCACAATTTCTTAGAACTATTTAAATATTAATAATACATTACAAGACTAAAAATAACAACACAAACTGGATTTTATTTTTAATTAGAACGATTTGAATATTTTCCCATAAAATATCAACTAAACCATTTGAATACTTCTAATAAAAGTATTTTTCCTTTCATTTTAAATTTATTATTAGCTTAAATAATTAAATTTCATATTAAATCTGTGTTATTTGTATTTTAGAGTAAACAAATATCAATATAATTAATTATATATCTGAAATAATTTAAAACTTAAAGGACTCTTATATAAATTAAAAAGTTCAACTCCAAGATGGAACTGAAAATGGGATCATCCCCAATATGAGAAAAATTATGGCATTTTGCCATTTTGAAGTTGAAAATGGGGTTGGGTTGGAGCAAATTTGACTCCAAAATGGCAATAAATGTGAAATATGGGACTGGGTTGGAGATGCTCTTAGTAGCTATACGTTTTTCTAAACTTTTAATTTTTATCATGTATATAATTTTATATAAATATTTACAAAGCTAATAATATATGTTTTATTACGATATTTAAAAGACTTGATCATAATTTCAGGTTTTCGTATGTCATATTAACAAATATTGTTTTTTTAATTCTTGATAAAATAACTTTTTCGAAGATTATGAATTATAAAAATTATATAGATCAATAATTATTGAATTTATTCGTAAAATAGTACCTCTATAAGATAATAAATATTCAAAGTTCCAACATTATTACTTGATAGAGGTTTTACTGTAATCTTGTTTTGTAGCAATATTTTGAATTTGTCAACAAATTAGTTTGAAATAATGGAATTGAAGAAAATAATAACAATTGACCTATCACCATAATAAATCTTCCAACTTGTTTTTTTGTAGTTATTAACAATTGTTAGCTATATTGACTAGAAAACAAATAAGATTGAGCGTTTGTTGCTAGTAATTATTAAACGAATAAAAAACATGTTTTTTTTGCGGTAGTTGGTTAATGTCGCCGATTATTATCACCAATAAATAACTAAGAATCGAGATATACCTAAATTTTGATGATAACTCATCTTTCCATAGAAAGAAACATATAAAAATATAATGCTGCTTTGTAGTGATGTTATGAATTCGCCAAAAAAAAAGAGTCAAAATCATGGAATTGAAGAAAAAAATCACATTTGATCTATATCACCACTATATATTTTCTAACATTGTTATTTTTAGTTAGATTTAATAATCATTGGCTATTATGACAATAAAATAAGATTGATTGAAATTATGAATCTACGAGTCTCCCAGTTCTTCTATACGTGGAAGCGGAAGCGTTTAGAACCACATAAGCGATATTTAAAAAAAAAAATAGGAATCAAGTATGTGTTGGTATATATATACACACACATATATGTATGTATAGCATAACTTAAATATATCAATTTTATATAACACAATTAATAATCATTCAAATCAATTAAAAATCGAACTAGACCTAAGTTCCTACGATAAATTTTTTTCCCCATAAAACTATTTCCATCCTCTTTATCTTAGTTTTTTTTATGAAATGAAAACTAGTTTAAAACTAGGTGATATGTCTGCGTAATTGTGTGGGCTTGAGTGTAATAAATAAAAAAGATTATAAAGAGTTTGAATATAATAAATAAAAAGATTAAAAGGAATTTATATTTCATTTGATCGCTATTCTTCATTTTATCTATTTGTTTACAATCTGATAATTTAGATTTTTAGTAGATACAGTATATGTTATTTTAGTAGTGTAGACAGGATAATTTAAACATAGAGACATACCATTAGTATAACATTAAGAAAATAAGTTTAATTGTGAATTGTTAAGTTTTGTCTTATTGCAATACTTTTCAATAGTAACTATACTAAAAATAATTAAGTGATTCAGGAAATAAAATGTTAACATTAAGATAGGTCATTTCACTAAATTTATACTGCATGATTTTTAATTTCTATGTAAAATTTAATTAGATATTTAAAAGACCATAAATTTAAATACAAAATAACATCAAAAAATTTTATTTTATTGTCGACGACCATCTCTAGAGCTTAAAATGTCATATAGGGCACGAGCTCACTTAGGTGCTCTGAGTGCTCTGCGGAGCAATAATTTTTTCTAAAGCACTAGTCTTAAACCAATCAAGCTTTGATTTCATTTTTTAAGTTTTGAGCCATAATTTTAAATATGGAAATATTTTGGCTCTGCAGAGCAGTTTTTTCAGAGCACAAATTTAAGGACTATGAAAATTCTCTCTCTTCTCATTCCTTAATGTCATTCTCTAAATTTTCTTTTTAATGTTTCTTTCCTATAACTCTTTTATTTATTTTTATTTTTAATGATACATTTATGATATTTTATAAGAAATTATTTATAATAGATATTTTACAGCACTAAAATCTACAGCCACAACAAAAAAATCTACCGCCTAAATTCTACAGCAAAAAATCCAAAGATACAGACACAACCAATCAGACTCATAGAAATCCTAAAAGTGATTATCTAGAAAAATAAATATCTTAGAAATAATTGGTAACTATTCCGCATTAAACAAAAGCTAGATATCATACAGATATTTTTGTTAATTTTAAGTAAGACATGAGTTTTTTCCTCTTTGATTAAAATAATACAAAATTAAATGTTTTTGTTCACGGTTTTAATTAAACTGGATAAATCGAAAGTCGAAAATATCTAAATGGAATCATTTTGCAAATATTGTTTGTTTGTTCGGTTTGGTTCCATTTATATATCTTTGATTTATCCAGTTTAATCGAAACTGTGAACAACCAAACCGAACAAACAAACAATATTTGCAAAGTGACTTTTGAAAATGGAGTTCTCATCGATACAATTCGGACACACGGTGGAGGTAGGGGTGCGGGCTGAGATACATCAGATATTAGGAATCACAAATGTAGGCGGGGTCGGCAATTACCTCGGGATTCCGGAAAGCATCGGGGGTGCAAAGACAAAGATTTTTAGTTTCCTAATTGATCGACAACAACAACGAATAAATGGCTGGAACTCTAAGTGGTTGTCAAAAGGGGGAAAGGAGGTTCTTATTAAATCAGTGGTCTCAGCAATGCCTACTCATGTCATGGCTTGTTTTCGGCTTCCTAAAGAAGTTACTAATAAACTGTCGAGTGCAGTTTCAAACTTCTGGTGGAGTAATAATAGACAGACACGGGGAATGCACTGGCAGGCCTGGAAAAAACTATGCAAACACAAAAATGATGGGGGTTTGGGATTTCGTGTTATTGAGGACTTTAACACGGCTCTACTTGCGAAACAACTCTGGAGATTAATCGATTATCCAGATTCTTTGTTTGCAAGAGTGTTCAAAGGACGTTATTACCGGAACGCAACGCCTTTGGACCCCGTTAGATCTTACTCTGCTTCTTATGGATGGCAAAGTATAGTATCGGCTCGACCTCTGGTTCAAAAAGGACTAATTAAAAGGGTTGGTTCAGGAACGTCTAATCTCGGTTTGGGATGACCCCTGGATTGCAGCTTCTTGCCCGAGGCCAGCCACAAGAACTGGGATGAGTTTTTACCCTCACCTTAAGGTAAGTGAATTGATAAATTCCAGTACAGCAACGTGGAATCTTCCACTATTAAACCAATTATTTGACAGCGGGGATGTCGCAAGGATCATCGGGATTCCCACTTCAAACGGGGCCCGACCAGACTCTTTGGGATGGTTTTTCACGAAGTCAGGAAGGTATACGGTTAAGTCGGGGTACATGGTAGCACAACAATTTTTGGAGGCGGAAACCCCCATTTTATTTGGCCCAGATACCCGGAGGCTTCAGGCTCAGGTATGGCAAATACAGTGCACCCAGAAGCTGCAACATTTCATTTGGCAAGCTCTGACGGGATGCATAGCAGTTGGTGCAAGGTTACGGAGTCGAGGAATGCAGGTAGACCCACAGTGTATGCGTTGTGGAATGGCGCCAGAAACTGTCAACCACACCTTATTTGAGTGTCCACCGGCACTACAGGTTTGGGCGTTATCTCCGATTCCGACGGTACCAGGGATTTTCCCGACAGGAGGACTGTTTACAAATATGACACATCTGTTCTGGCATTTGCCAACTGACGAAAGAATGAAGATGTATCCTTGGCTGATTTGGTATATTTGGAAATCTCGGAATGACAAGGTCATGAGCAATGTGGACTGGGATCCCAATGAGATTATCATTAAAGCAGAAGCGGAATCCATTGCATGGAAAAATGCCCAAGTTAGGCTCCAACCGACCCAGGCCGATACGCATGTTGATGTAACGGTCTCGGGGGATATATGTCAGGTGGATGGGGCTTGGAAGGAAACAGATTGTAGACCTGGTCTTGGATGGTATTACTTTCATACAAATTCTTTGGACAAACTGATGGGGACATGTAACCTGAGGCGGGGGATATCACCTCTTCAGACGGAGTTGGAAGCTCTTATTTGGGCTATGCAGTGTATGTTAAGGAATAGCAAATTAACAATAGTGTTTCAGACGGATTGTTCTGATGTGGTGAAGATGGTGTCTAAACCAGCGGAATGGCCGGCGTTCTCACTTTTACTTGATAAGGTGGATAGATGTAAGAGGGGCTTTAGCTCCTTCACCATCATGCATATACTAAGGAAGGAAAACACGAAGGCGGACAAGTTAGCACAAAGTGCTCGAGCTCTACCTACTGATGTGTACTATGTAAACTCTGTTCCACCAGCTTGGATCCCCGAGTTGTTCTAGAAATAGAGGCTGTTGAAAAAAAAAAAAAAAAAAAAAAAAAAAAAAAAAAACTAAAAATCCTAAAATGTCATTAATGAAACCCTTTATTTTACAATTAATGGACTTCAGCCCTAAAACAATTGAAAGCCCAATGACCAATAGTCCAATACAATAATGCTGACGTGGTAAGTTATTCCACATGTTATCAAACCTCGCGCTGTGATTGGTCTTCAAAAAGCTCCGTGACGTTTCTTTCATCGTTTCCTTCGATTTAGAACGAAAGACAAAAACTCAAATTAGTCACTTTTCTGAGAAATTTCAGATCATCGAAGCAAAGCAAAGCAAAGCAACGATCATCGCCATGGACGCCATTGATTCCGTCGTCGACCCTCTCAGAGACTTCGCTAAGGATAGCATCCGTCTCGTTAAGCGTTGCCACAAGCCAGATCGCAAAGGTATTGTTTGTTTGTTCATCCACCTGTTTAGATCTGCTGATTTCTACTATCGCGATTGGAAGATAGATCTCTGTATTTGACCTACGATTGGTTTTGATTTTGCGTTTGCGTTTGCGTTTTGTAGAATTCACGAAAGTTGCTGTTCGTACCGCGATTGGGTTCGTGGTAATGGGATTCGTCGGCTTCTTCGTGAAGCTCATCTTCATTCCGATCAACAACATCATCGTCGGTGCCACTTAGGGTAAATTATTCTCCTCCCGATTCTTCGATTTGTTTCACACGCGTTGTATGTGAATGATTATATTCATAATGGTTAAAATTGATTTAGATGGTAGCTTCAAATCTTGTGATTAGACTATAGATTATAAAAGTATAATTTCTGCAAAATTAGATGCCTGAGACTATTGTATTGCAGTTGAATTTTTGTTGTTTAGTTCAAAGTTTAGGCCTTTGCATAGCACTTTTCTTTGTAATTCATTCAATTGCTACTTTGTGGTACAAAAATTGGAAACATTTTTGGTTTCAGTTGTGGTTTTCTGATTTCGCTATTGCAGAGAGAACTTCAAAAGTTTGTATGTTTAGCTAAGTTAAAGATCTGAGTCTGAAGCACTTGAAATTCGATGAGAAATTGGTAAATAGATAGAAACCATAGTTGTTTGTTTGGATGAGCATTTGGCTTTGAAGGGAAGAGATGGTTGAGGAAGAACTTTGCTTTCTTTTTTCTAAGTACATTATGTGAAAATTGTTGTTTGCTTTTGTAATTGTGGAACTGCTCTTCTAAGCCTTTGTTTGGGTATTTGCAGAAAGGAGAAAGAAAAGACTCCATTTGTTTCAATGTTTCAAGAAAAGAAGGGCACAAGTCAGTTCTATGTTTTTTTTGTAATCAGACTCCATTTGTTTCAATGTTTTTTTTTTTTTGCTTATTTTCTGTACAACTGAAGAAGAAAGCGGACGTGTCTTGTATGTAGAGCAAAAGCTAATTTAGAAAGTTGTAGCCGAGCACTTCATAGTCTGGTTGCTTTGCCATTTGGTCTCTATTGCACTTTAAACTCGAACGCTAATCTTCTCAAATGAAAACCTAATTTGGTTTTATATGTTACATCGTCGAACAACTAATTTGGTTTTTGAAATCGTTTCCCCAAAGTTATAACCCGAATTCCCATTTTCCCACTTCTAATACTGTATCCGTACTAACTGTACTTTGTTGTTTTAACTGTCTGTCTGAATTCTGCATATTGAAATGTTACTAGTTGAATTTTGAGATTGATCAGAAGACAGAAACATATTGTTTTGAAAATATAGAAAATATATTAAATTTTAATATGTGGGCAGGCATCTAAAACACCACTTATTTAAGAACACAGTGAGTAGTTTTTATCATTTAATAATTTCACATTTCATGAAAAACAAAATTCAACAATATTTACTCATCAACAAGTGTCCACTGTCTTATCTTATATCTTCGTCCACGATATACTGAAACAACCACATTTTGATATAATTTTCGTTATTTGTACTAACAAACATGACATACAACCAAATCTGCTAATGAATGTTTGACGGATGAATTGGAAACTCTTTAGCTTGTTTATCATCATTAATCTAGTGTTTCATATTACGCTGAGACTTAATAAAAATAAAAACAAGTATGCGTGAGAAATCATGAAAGATCGTACGCGAGCTATTCGCATAAGGTATGATGATCAACTGATCACATGCATTGCGTGTGTTTGGAGCCCTAACTACTATATTTTGGTACAAAAATAAAATAGCTCGCAGCGAACACACATGAACGGTTTGCCTTAAGGAGGCCAAGTATTTTCCCCAACGTGATTGCTTCTTTATCTTTTTATTTGTTCTTTAAAAATGTCTTTATTGGTAAATCTTGAACATGCAGCAATTCTCCCTCATATAGTTTTATTCACTCCTTTTGGTGAAACTCCCGAAATTCATGATGAAGCATGTGGCCATTTCTCTTTGGAATCTCATAATGTCATCCTATAATTTCTCAGTTGCTCCAACATCTTTTTTTTCTTTTCTTTTTCGGAACTTGTTGGTTTGTTTGTTGAGAGTCCATGAGATTAATTCGGAATAAAATAAAAATATAAGATTCAATTTTTAATTGCTGCAAGAAAACCGTATGAACTCATTAATGTTTTTGCTAAGTACATGAACTCATGAATCATGTAAACAAATCTAGTATTCATAATTTGTATTAGATTCGTTTATATATAAACTTAACTCGAGTACAAAAACTATAAGTTCATCTATATTTTTAGATTTGATTAATCAGCTTTGTTTGTGTTTTTTTCTTCCAAAAATTTCCAGAAAAAACATCTAATTTAATACAACTGAAGTTTTATAAACAATTAGTAAGCAGATAAACTGGTTAGCTTAGCTTGCTGATTAACTGGATGGAGTCTGATTCTCGCTATACAGAACCCTATACAAATAAATGTATTAAATACAAGATCATAGTCATTGTTGTTTCGTGCGCTGTTGGAGATTGTTCATATGTGACTCATCTTGCATTTCTTAACGGTGTTTAATGGAAGTGATCAAAAGAAACTTCCACTATCTTGACCTCCTCAATAATATTCTCTTTTCGCTCTACATATGAATATATAAAAATACATGATTTGACTTGCTGTTGTACGAAACCAATGGTCTAGATAGCTCATCAAAGTGGTAGTTTGGTCTCCAAGTTAGCGAATAGAGACTAAACGTGTACAAGATTAAAAGTGTTACGAACCCACTTCAAAAATAATAGAGGACCTTTGTTTTTTTTTGTTTTTTTTTTTCAAACAGAGGACCTTTGTTAATTGTTATGTAGTTAAAAGTGTTATGTGATTTATTTAGGGTAAACAAATGTTTTCAAAAAATATTTTGTGCTACTTTTAGAACGAAATAAAAAAACTTATGGATCTATTTTTGATTCATTTTAGGGTTTTGTTTGCGTCTAATTTGCGGTTTCGTTTTATGTTGTATAATATTCTAATTTTAAAACATGTAACAAAAAACAAACGAATGGATAAAAAATGTTGCCCAAAATATACAAAAAACAAACGAATGGATAAAAAATGTTGCCCAAAATATTAACTGTCTCAGACTATTTCAAATACGTAAGACATTTTGTAGTTCAGAGATATTTTACACTATTGTGGGTGCTAACCTACCAAACTCCTGAAAGAGTTTATACAATAAAAAACATACATGTCATTTCAGAAAACGGCTTTGATGATGGAAATTAACAAAGAGTTTGCTTGTGTACATGGCGAATGTTTCACGAATACCGTCATGATTATAATAACATTACTGTTTAATATTTATAACACCTCTACTTTCAAAACTTGGGAGTTAAAATAAGGGCTTAAAATAACACATGTTGGTCTGTGACAGACGTACAAAACACAAAGCATCGCCATGACATAATTGTTATGTTATGATTTGAAGTCTAAAAATAAAGTATAGTTTTGATGTTATGATCGTCACGTTTTGGTTGAACTGCGTTGCATTTAAAATTATTACATTCCTTTTCTACTTTAATTATTAATACAATAGTACTTCATATAGATCAAGTTATTTTGTAATGTTCGTGTATCTACTTAGTGCTTAGATATTTATTTATATATATAGACACATATATTGACGCTTGGTGGTCACCCTGAGACAGGAGTAAATTGTGTGCGGAATCTTGTATCCTTAAGAGTGTATAAACGAAATTGTTCAAACGAGGATCACAGTTCACATATTATTGTGGTTAGTTCGTTGACAAAACATATAATATAGTTAGTTCAATTGGAGAAGTAATTATCGTGGCAGAGAACTTCTCTCCCAAGAATGAACTTGAGAATCAGAAATGATCTACTAAGAGACTCTGGATTGACACCTGGGTCCAGGATGGAGATTTTCTCAGAGTCCCTTGGACTAAAACACGATCATTGATATCAAACTTAGAGTGGAGTACTTCGTTGATCAGGATTGAGGAGTATAGGAGATGGGAAAAATGTATGAGGAAAGGTGGCTCTATGCTCTATAGTGGTGTCCCCGTTGCATCTGCCACTTAGTTTCTAAGTCCACACTGCTGGAGATAGGGAGTCTACAGGAGGTGGCCTTACCGCTCAAGTTATGTGTGCCATCGTAATTATGTCAGCAACGCAAGGACCATAATTAAGAAACTTATGCTAAGAGATTTGTCTAAACTAAACTACACACTTTTTGGGGTAAAATTATACATAATTTGATGAGATTTTTCTAAACAATGGTGCTTCTAATTTTATTTTTATGTGTAGATGATTGTATATCGTGTAAAAATAACACATCAGTATGCGTATCAACTTTTCCAATTTGATAACATATTTTATTTTGTTCCAATTTTTTTTCAGAAACTGATTTGATTAATCATCCCACTGTTTTTAAAACATCCATATACTGTACATTTTTATTCGGAAATATATTATTAATGAGATTATATAAAAAAAATTGAAAATCAGTGGATGTGGATTCAATTTGGAATGTGTGGCTTCACCTATTCCCCTAACTATCTAGATTAACATTCATTGCAATATGATTCCGTTTTTTATGTGGTTGTACATCATAACCACTATATTTCTATTAAAAAAATAGTGAAGTTTTTATAAAGATATTGTGAAGCTTTACAACTTAAAAAAAAAAAGATAAAAAAGTAGTAGCAAAATAAATAGAGCTTTGTGGGTAATTAAATAACTGGAAATTGTTTTCTTTCGCAAAAGAGTACAATCATTGTTTAGGAATTTATATTGGATTATTTAGAATAAAACAGGCTAATAAGCATATGTACCAACAAGATATAAGCATTATAATCTTTATGTTTGTGCATATATTCTGCTATCTTAATTGTTTGGTTCTCCGCTTGATATGTATTTGATTGAAACTGTTGTTACAAGCATTAGTTTATTTGGATATATGAAATGATCGGTTTCTTTAATGCTTAACTCTAAAAAATATATTTTTTTCCACAATGTGGCAATTAAGATGAGTTCAAATCTACTTTAACAACAACAACTAAAAAAGACGATGTCCAGTTTATTTATTACCATAAGTTGAAGAGATATATATTAAAATGAACCAAAACTTATTTTGTTCCAAATCTAGCAAACTATATAAATTTTTTAAAAGTAGCAACATTTTTTTTTGTGAAAACACTTTTTACTCTAAATAAATAACTCATAAATTAAAACATTTTGTTTGAGTTTTCTTTTCCTAATTAGAGTTTAGATTTATTCTATTCCGAAGAAGTTTTGAATCATTTTTGTATCAAATTTGTGCTATTATTGGTTAAAACAAAATTGGATCTATTTTTGGAATAAAAACCTAAAAGTGATTTATATTTTAACAAATGTTCTTTTTTTTTAACATCCTTTGGATTGAATGTGCTTGAGTTTTCACTGCGAAGATGTCAAGAAAAATATGTAGATTAGGCAAAATGAGAAGTAACTATACATAATCAGATAGATCCAGGTATACATGTACTTGTCAGGGAAATTAGTTTACAACTTAAATTAAGCACAAGGATTAGACTTGCGTTGAACGTACAAGATTTTAATTTTTTTTAAATAATTTAGTGATATATGAATTTACTAAAAAGTCTGTTGCAAAATATTTGTGATATATCAACGGCATCTTTTGTAAATAACCCGCAAATGTAAGATTGGTTTTTTGAACAACTCTCTTGGTTTTGCCATATTATAAACATTTAACAGAATGCATGGGTAACGTTGATACTCAGCGAACTAAACCGAAGTTGATCCCACATGAAATTATGTATGTTCATTACAATTCTTGCAAGCAAACCTTTTTGTGTATAATTAATTAATTCTTTTTTTTGTTTGCTACGAATTATCATTTAATTAATTCTACTTTAAATGAAAAAGAGTTTGAACAAAAGATGATGATGGCATGCAAATGGTACAGTGTGGGAACAAAATGCGACACTCATTATCAACCAAACTAACTCGTCGACCCCAAAGAAATTATATAAAAGAAATCATTTTATTTAATTTTAGTTTTGGATTTTTCTGGTTTTTTGGTGGTGGTGAAAAGGATGAGTCTTCCACCAACTCCAATCTTCAATCTTCATCCTTCAAATCTTATCCACATGCAATCCATAAACCTGCTCATTCCATCTAGTTTCATGGCAATCAATTTTATAAATATCTTTTATTCTTTCTTTGTTGCTATTATTACTATTGTTAGATTATATATTGTAATACTTTGTTCTTTATCAATGGCCCTACAAAAACAAAAAGGATCTTACTTAGCTGATTGGTAACTTGTTTTGCAAAACTCTATTTCCCCTCCTTGCCTCTCAACTTGGACTATGCGTGTTCTTATTGGGGATGCATGTTGCATCTAGATAAGGATGATGTTTCATTTAATACACTCTTAACAAAATAAAAAAATTGTGTCACTTATAGTAAAAATACTAATGTAACTTGTGAATGTACTTACTGTCTTTAACAAAAAAGAATGTACTTTCTGTAAGGATTTCATATCAGAAGTTAGAAGAAGCTTACAGATCTTTTCATCTTTATATAAAAGGGATGTGTCAATATAATCATTTTCATCAATTGATTGTAAGTTGGATTTAAGCCTGCAAAACTTTATAATACTTTTTCAAGTATGCTATATTTAGCATTATAAAACTTGACGTTTTTTTTCCTAATCCATCGATTCAAAAAAAAGGTGACACCTCTCATTTGAGAGTCAAAAAATCAAGTTATAAGGTTTAGCTCATACTTTCCAAGTATACTATATTTAGCATTATAAACTTAGAGTCTTGTGTCCTAATCCATCGCTTTAAATAAGCAACCGACTATTTTCACCCTTAACTCTGACTAATAATTGTATATGTATTCTTATCTGATGAGACAACCTTAGTGTAAGGTTTATATTGTTTTCTTTGTCGAAACCCATATGCAATGATTAAGATGCCCTTTTCTACAAGTTCACTCCAAAATTAGATAATTGTAAGGAGAAAAAAACAACAAATGAAAACGTGTTTAGTAACTTTGCTTGCAATTAAACGATGACCAACCATATGTGTTCGTATGTGACGGCCACATGATTTTCTGTCTTCCGTACTTATGTGTCCCACTTAACTTTTGCTTATTGATATTTCTTTCCAAAGCCATCTCGTGATGTAAAATTTTGACCAAAGTCAATCGCAACAGTCTTGTAAAATTAAATAAACCGTTAAAAGTACAGTCGCATCCACTCATCGTTTAGGTACTGAATGTCTTTGCGATTTGATAGGAGTAACTAAGAAGCTGAACTCAATAACAACTATTGACGGGCGATAACTCCCTTGTTTCAAAAATTGTTATCTACTATTATATATTGAGGTAACTAATTAATTAAGAAAACTGAGAAGAACATTAAAACTTTTTCGTGCAAATCACAAAATCGCAATATTGAATCAATGATTTGAGAGAATCTTTATTTCTATTCTCAATTGCAATACTAAATTATCAATTTTTAAAAGAGAATGATAGTTCCTACAATCAAAGTTAAAAGCAACTAATTAAACCCAATTGCTGGTCCATCGTCTTCATAGACAGCTTCGTCGTCGTATCATCAATTGATGGTGCCTCTAAATTCATGAGACTCTATTTAATTTATTATATTTTCTTTTTAAAAAAAATCATAATAATTAGCATTCATTATTATAATAAATTTAACAAAAATATGAAAAGTCATTTTAAAAAAAAAAGAAAGATTATGTATAGATCTACAAAAACTATTATTTAGTAAATTTATTTTTGTAGATTATATAATTTACGTTGATGTCAAGATATTATATAAAGAACACTGATTTTTTTTAAGTATTTTGGATGAAATGAGACCGGACATGATGAGACAGAAAAAAAACATAACGAGATAAGAAATGAATTTTGTCCACTTCTTATTATATTAAATGACGAGACGGGATGTAAAGGAATGGAAAGGAATGGGATACCACATAATTTTGCCTACTTCAAATTATATTTAGAGACGGAATAGAAAAACGAAAGGAACATGATGAGATAGGACAAGACGGAAAGAAACATAATGAAAGAGATAAGACTGGACGGGACGAGACAGACAAATTAGACATGACAATGAAAAAAACGGAATGAGACGGGATTGGATGGGACGAGAAGGGACAAGACATAAATTTCACCTACCCCTAATTATATTTAGGGACAGAACAAAGACACGACAAAACGGAAAAAAAAAATAACATGATAGGATGGGACTCGATAGGGCGGACAGGACGGACATGACGAACGGACGGGAAAAAAAGGACAAGATGAAAAGGAATGAAATGGGACGGGATGAGACTACGGAATTTTGTCTATCCTTAGTTATATTTAGGGAACGGGACGAGAAGAAACGGAAGGAACATGATGGGACATAACAAAATGGAAAGGAACATAACGGATAGGATGAGACTGGACGGGACGGGACAACAGGGCGGATGGGAAGAACGACATGATGAAAATGAACGAAATGGGATACGATGGGACAAGACGGTACGTTAATTTTGCCTAACCCTAATTATTTTTAATTAATATGTGTAATATTTTTGAAACAATAATAAATCATATAAATAAATTAATTTGCGGAAAAATAATAAAATTAACACAATAATATAAATTCCCGCGCGGAGCGCGGGTCACCTTCTAGTATGGATATAAAAGGATTCAAAGAACTATGGGATTTGAAATTGAGAAATCAATGATTCAAGAGAATATGAACATAAAAGGATTTGAGGACCTTGTTGTTTAAAGGGATTTGAAATTTTAGAATTTATTGTTAGAAATTTTAAAGTGGTTAGTAGGGATTTTGGACATTTATGAAACTAAAATATTTTTTTTATAGGTTACTTAAAACGTTATATGTCATTTATTTTTAAAATTTAAAACTTGTTTTTTTTTTTTTTTTTTTTGTGGTACGATATAAATTTCGATAAATGTTCTAGATCCCTAGTTAGTACATTCATTTTTCCGACTTGTAGTTGGTTTCTAAATCGGACGTTGAACTTGTGGAAATAAATGTCGTGCTAGAAAGTAGATCCTCACATTGATAATTGACGTCAACAAAATTAATTGTTGTTTCTCAGATGAATTGCTTGATCCATAAATGCAAAATCTGAGACTAAAGAATTATGATGAAAGTAAGATTTGGTAGAAGTGTAGAACTTATGAAAGAACTAGTACGAACCCAAAGCATATACGTACTAAAGAGGAAAATGTAGTTCAAATTTTAATTTATTCAAATATCATCTCATAAGTTAGTGTATTTAGATATCTCTCTTTTATCAGTATCATTTCGTTGGACCTCTTCTTTTTAAGAGATAGGGGCCACATTTTCTATTTGTTTTTAATTAGAAAAAAAATATTACAAACCATTCAAAAAATTTTTTGATATATTTTATTGGTGTACCCTAATTTTCCAATAAGGTGGGATTTATAAGAACTTATAGCTATAGTATTGAAAGAGATCCACAATTTTCCAAAAACATGTTTCCTTTAAAAAAATCTGACTGAACCTATTTAAAAAAAAAGGATAGTTATTATAGTGTCCAAATTTGCATATTAAGTGTCGTTTTAGAATTTATTTTTTTGTCTCATTATAAGTGTCATTTTCTATTTTCAATTCAAAATTTGAACATAATTTTCAGATTCATCTCTATTCTTTCGGCTCAATACTAGATAAAATCAAATAATGTTATGTATTAATTATGGGTAAACCAGAAAATTGTAATATTTTTTTAATATGTGTGAAGAAATCTTAAATAACATTTCATATGAAACAGATAGAGTAAAAGAAACATAGGTTTAAAATTGATATTATTTTCTGAATTAAATTTCATGTTTATCTATAATTTATTATGACATAAAAAAAATCTATCAGATATCATAATATTCTATTTGATTTTATCTATCTCTTGAAATAATTTTAATAGTAAAAATTTAATATACATAGTAAATTTATCTTTAGTTTGGGAATTAAACAACAAAAAGTTCTTAAAAAATCCTGTATTTTCATAAGATTTTTAAATGAGTTTTAATATCCAATAAATGTTTACTATTTATGTTTTATAATTAAAAACATTGTATGAGTATAAAACTACTGTTCAGCTTATGTTTTGGTAATTCATTACACTATGTTGTTATTATTCTATTAACTTTTAGTTTAGTCAATATACTGTATTACTATTAATCTCAATTACCATGATTATTGGCGATTTATCCCTGTTTTATTTTAAAATATTATAAATGATGATGAAAAATTATTCAGAAAATTTGTATGAATATTTCCAAAACAAATTTAATATTTTGAAAAATAAGTTCTTTAAGTTTTAAAATTAACCTATTTAGTATCAAAATAATTAAGATACCATAAATATTCTATTTTGTTATAATATTTTAAATGTAAAACAAAGAAAAAAAATTATTTTAACATCCATCAAATTAGCTGAATTAGACTAGGATTACTTCGTGTTTAAAAAAGCACTAAAACACATAAGTGCTGAATCCTAAATGGTTTTAAATATTTTTTTGTCATCTAATGGAGTATATTGATTTTCAAAATCGAATTACAAACAAACAAGGTCGGCAAGGATCAATCCTTCCAAAGCCAAATTTTTAGAAGTATGATTGCATAAGCCGACTGATAAGTGTCCTGGTTTTGTACTTCTAGCAGAAAGTTTAAATTTTCGAGCATGTTGTAGAGGGAATGTGACCAAGCCTAGCGAGTTAAACTTCAAATCACCAAACATGCTTTCCCAGTCCATCATTGCATTACTGCTGTAGAAAATATTACAGTTTCCATTGTGACAGGTATTCAAAGCATCGTTCAGCAGCTGGGTAAAAGATGTCTTCTTGGCCACATTGTAGTAAGAAACAAGATCAGAACTCTCCCATCATCTTAAGAGATTGAAGGTTCTGATAAGATAATGTCCGGCGTTGGTAATTGTGTGATTGCGAGGGCAACCTACTACGAGACTTCATCTTCTGAGGAGGATAGGAGTGCGACCTGGGTGAAGAGGAAGATTAGCCAGGAGAAGAAGATAGAAAGAGACAGGAAGAAGGCCGGAAAGAAGGCCCGAAAGCCCACGGTTTACAAGGGAGTGAGCACCAACGATGCCGCCAAGTTTGGCGAGTAGATTTGACCACCGGATCCCTGATGACCTTGTAATAAGGAGGTTTTTCAATGCTTTAGACTTCTGCTTTAGACTTGGATATTTTGCTCTGTTGCTTTAGACCTTTATGTTTTGGATCTTGCCCCTTTGTTGGTTTAAAAAAAGTTAGGTTGCTTAGAAAAAAAAAACAAATAAAAAAACAACAGTTTTCCCTTTGTATATTTTCTGGTCTTTGCCGGATAGGTAGAGACTCAGAGCTTTCTAGCTTGAGACTCAGAGCTTACTACTACGCAACAGTCAATCACTTCTTCTTTTTGGAGAAACAATACCATTTAGAAGTGAGCTTGTCTAAGGTATCACCCAAGCCAAATCCCACACAAGGAAGACAAGATGGATAAAACAATTCAAATGGACGAAAAATAAAAACAAAACCTTGATCTGGTTGAAGATAAATAACTCCATAATCCTAGAGTAGCCGAAAACAGCCAAAGCAAGTACGAAGAACTAAAACAAACCTCAGCAGAAGCTGATGTCATAGGAAGATGGATATCTATATATTGATGACAAAACTCCTTAGTGAAGCTAAACCCCTGTCGATTGGATCGAAAAACTAATCTCTTCAATCTAACAACCAAGAGACCTGCCGAAATTCATAACTTTTGGTGTTGAAATCATTAATGAACCAGACGACTTCACAACAAGAGATTTCAAACAATTTTATATATAATTAGGGAGTTTTTTTCCATCTAAAGTGTCTACATCAGCACAAAAATATTAAATTGTATTTAAAATATTTATTAAAATACATGACTCTTCATATATATATTTTCACTTGATTTATCATAGTATCACAAATTATTAGAAATGTTATAATGAAGATTCTGCAACGAACAATTCCGTCTTCTGGTGTATCTGGACCGCCCGTCTCGAGCCTCCTGCAAACATGTCTTCATGATTCTGCATAATTGACAATAAATTACATTCTCCGGGATTCGAAACACAAATCTCCTGGTGTAGAAACATTAATGAATCCTTAGTCAAACCACTGGCCCAAGGGGGCTTTCATTAAAATATTTATTCATATTTCTTTACATTTATTCACATTTTAAATATAAATAAAATTAAGAAAAATATACAAATAGATTAATTAATTACTAGAAAGTATGTGATTATATGATGTTAAAAGTTATCAAAAAGTTGGAATACAAAATGGAGATGGAGTAAAAAAATATATTTAACTTGAAATAATATATATTTATCTTTTTATTCAAAAGATTTATTCTATTTAAAAATGTTTAATTATGTTTACAAGTTAAAAAGTTGAATATAAATTAATTAAGAAAATATAAAGCTTATGAGAAATTAGAATTAGAATTTGTTTAAAAAAAATAGAAGTGAAATTTTCATATATAAAATTTAATTGCAGTGAAAAAACATGAAAATTTGTGATATGTTGTTTCATAAAACTTGTTTCATGAAAACATGAAAACTTGTTATTACGCCGTTGATTTTTTTGTTTTTTTTTTTCCAGATAAGGCTTTGACCCTAATTTTTCGATTGATGTTTAAAGAGAAAAAAAACTAAAACAAGAGAACAAAAAAAAAAGCAGAGAGATGGAAAAGAGAAGCCACGAGGCCTCAAAACAAAAACATTTCTTATTCACGAGTGCGTGTCTCTCTATAAATATACTCACATCTCCTTCTCTGCCTCCTTCTTCTCTCTACTCTCTCATTTCCAACAAAAATCATATCTTCTCATCTTCTTCTTTCTCCGACGATTTTTTCGGATGACGCATCTCAACAAGAAACAGAGGTTGGAGAATCTCACGGTGAACCACTTGGACGACTTACACGACGATCTCGTCATCACTATCCTCCGCAAACTCAGTTCCTCCGCTTCTTCTCCCGCCGATTTCCTCAGCGTTCTCATCACGTAAGTCGGTTTTTTGTCTTCTCCGTCACCGTGCTAAAACTCCATCAGATTCCCGACGAACTCTCTTTCTCGTTTTCAGATGCAAGAGATTGAATCGATTGGGTTTACACCCTCTGGTTTTATCCAGAGCCGGCACTCAAACCCTAGCCGTCACGGCGGATAAATGGTCTGATTCCGCTCACAAGTTCCTCAAACGCTGCGTTAATGCCGGAAACATTGATGCTTGCTTCGCTCTCGGGATGGTCCGTACAGTAATCTCCATATCTCCTCCTTCGATTCTCTCTCTCTCTTTCTCTTTTCTAAATTTGTTTTTCATTTTGCACAGATCCGATTTTACTGTCTTCAAAACCCAGTGAGCGGCGCGTCTCTGATGGCTAGAGCCGCGATTAAATCTCACGCGCCGGCACTGTACTCGCTGTCGGTGATTCAGTTTAACGGAAGCGGCGGTACCAAATCCGATAAGAATCTACGCGCCGGCGTCGCTCTCTGCGCACGCTCTGCTTATCTCGGCCACGTGGACGCTCTACGAGAGCTCGGTCACTGCCTCCAAGACGGTTACGGAGTTCCTCGCGACGTCTCCGAAGGTCGTCGGCTTTTGATTCAAGCCAACGCCAGAGAGCTCGCGTGTTCTCTACGCGCTTACCTCTCTCTCAAAACCGGAAACGAAACGGTAACCGATCTCGCTTCCTGCGGCGGCGGCGGAGGAATAATACCGGTTCAAGAGATTCACCCAGTAAACCGGTTTTTGAAGGATTGGTTTGATTCGGGTCGGATCGTTTTAGCGGAAGGGCTTAGGATGTGTTCTCACGGCGGATGCGGTAGGCCGGAGACTCGGTCGCATGAGTTCCGGCGATGTTCCGTTTGTGGGAAAGTGAACTATTGCTCTAGAGGATGTCAGGCGTTGGATTGGAGAGCGAAGCATAAGATGGAATGTACGCCGTTAGATTTGTGGGTTGCCGCTGCTGCGGCGGTGGAGTTTGGTGATGGTGACGGTGAAGCGGTGGCGATTGAGAATCATGCAGCCCGGTAACGGCTCTGATTCGTTTTTTTTTTAGTTTTTCAATGAAAATCAGAAATTGTCTAATTTGCCAACAGTCTTTGACCTTTTGAGTTTTCTTTTTGGTTAATTAATTAATAATCCTTAAAAACTTTTTAATGTTTTTTTTCTTCTTTAATTTACCGACAGTGGCGTTTATAATTTATAACTGACATGTTATTTAAACAATTTCCAATGTAACTCGTATAAATTGTTTAAAAGATTTGAGATACTAATTTCAGAAGTACGACAGTTAATCCCTTCATATTTGATAACACCAAAAGAAAGCTCAAAATCTGTAAAACATGTCCATTTTGTTTTATACTTTTATTCACCAAAAAAGTAACAATAGGACAAGTGTTCAAAATACGGAATCGTATAGTCATGATTTTTAGAGAATGGCACGAGAAAAGCAACGAAAAGCAAAATGGTACGTTAAGATTTATACAATACAACAAAATTACAGTTAGTAGTATAAGTTACACACACATTTCTTGTTTTTAGGAGTTACCTAATGTGCTAATAGCTGATGACAAACAAACATGGCAATAGTTTCTCTACCAAGATTGCAAGTTTATTGTATGTTTCGAATTTGTAGAGATTTTGTAAAAGAAATGGAACAGCAACACGAGACTATCCATTAAATTTTTCAATTTAAAAACCCGCAAACAAGGTTTGTAATGCCGAATTGTTCAGCAAAGTTTTCAAGAAATTTATGATTGATCCGTATTCTAGCATATATAATAGCAATATAGCATTGATAAGCAAGTTAACTTGTTCCAGGACTATTTTGAGTTTGATATGGGAAGAGTTTATGAGTTATCTCCAAGATATTTGCAAGCATGTTTACAATTTATAAACTCTTATACATTCCCAACAAATCCTCGACGATTTCTTGTCATGAAAGATAAAGAAATACATCTTGAGTTATATCATGGTGATATTTTGAAAATCCATATTAAACTCAAGTCAATTTATAAAACCTTGAAGATGTTTTAACGTTACCAATAAACACTCCTTAGACAGGAGGAGTCAATAGAACAGTGGCATAGCAAGAGTTTTCCAGTAACGACAAGTAACAGTTACAAACTCTACATTAAAACATTCACAATACAACATAGGCATACTATTTTA